TGCCACATTAATTAATTATTATAAAGCATATTTACATATCCAATGCAACGTTTGCATCTAAATTTACGAAGTATAGGTTTTGCTTTACCGTGACCATAAAAAGGTGATTTCCAACTTCAATAATGTCCTTATTTTCAGTTATTTTGATTTCGATTGGAATGAGAATTTAATTTAGTTTTGGTTTTAAAAAGGTTTCGAACTTTACTGTGTCAAATCACGAGGGAATATTTTTTCCCCCTCTCTTTTTAGTGTGGATTAAGAAGACTCAGATTCTTACGAGTGCTTTATAAGGGTACTAGTTTATTTTTCAAAAAGGATAAAAGATGGGTTACTTTCGCCGTTATGGATGGATATGAAAGAGCCACAAGTCAAGAGAATTAAAATATGAAAGCGATGGAAAGCAGGGATATATCAATAACCGAGATAGTAGCTAGATTATATTCCTTCTTAAAGTTAAAAGTATAAAAAAAAAAAGAAGCTAATCACCAAATTATAGAAGGCTCTAGGCTTTGTGAAATCGTATGGTTCGATGAAGAAAAAAAAAGGGTGGTTGTATACTTCTCAAAAAGAATTTCCATGAAATTATAAAAAAAATGCATATTATAGAAAACTACCACATCTGATATTTAATATAAGAATCAAATAATTAATTTATGAATGTTAAAAAATCAGTTAAATTAGTTATTTATAATAAATAGATTTTATTTTTTCTAAACTAACTTTGTTAATTACTTGTATTAGAATTATCTCTTAATGAAAACTTCTTAATATATGTAATTATTATAAAAATTACTTGAGTTAAAATAAATAAGTATTATAAATAAAATAAATTAAAATTTTATATTTAAAAACAAATTAAATTTTTAACTAATTTTTTATATCAAAGATGGAAACACATGTTAGCCAATGACTGACAAAGTCTTGCAATTTCCATGTCCCTCTAGTTTGCGATCCAAATGTCAGCAGCAAAACTCTAGAAGGTTTCTGGGGACATGTGACGTGGTCATCCCATGTAAAGCCATGTGTGCCAAGGGAGATAAATAAGGTAGAATCAAACTGCAAAACACTATCAATGTGGCTTTATGCTAATGGTTTAATTAAAACGTTTAAATTCAAGAAATTTATATGCGACTCATCATCTCTTGAAAGAATAATAGTTTTTTTTTTTAACACAGGTATCTTCCTGTTGAGACAATCATATTTAAGATATTGTTAGATATTTAATGTTAATAATTTTTTTAAGAAGAATTTAAATCTTGGTTCGTCATGTTGTCTGTAACTAAACATTTTGCTAGAGCTAACACATTGATAAAGAATAATAGTTGTATTCTTCATAACTTAAGCACATGATATTATTTAATACAAATTTTATATGGGCGTTGATACATATTGATATACTGAATGCCAAAAAAAAAAAAGATAGAGAAAATTTGTTAAAGATAGTTCAAATATGACGGCAAGAGATAGAAGCAAGTATTCACTGCGGTCGGCGGTAATCCATACAAATTATAATTTGACTGCAGGATTCATACTAAAAGTTAAATTTAAGATACTATCAAATCAAAACTTTGGGATTTTGATTTAGGGTTGGTTTTTATTCATATATATTAGCTATTAGGTTCAGCCTAAAAAAAAAAAAAGGAAAAAGGAAGGAGTGGGGCTTTGATAGTTAAATAGATATATTTTTAATATCTTTCTCTCAGCCTGATTACATTTTTTACCATCATTCATGATAAATACTAGCTTTCATGATGAGTTCTTCAATATAATTTTCTCTGAATTTTATAAATAATATTGAAAAGTTTATTTGCATGTATTTTGTCGCAAAATAAAAGGCGAGAGATATTCGTTGTCTTTTGATGCAGAATTGCCATTTGCAATCTTCCCTCCAATGGGTTCAATCCCAAATCTAAATCTCTGTTGAGGATATATAATTTTCGTTTTAGTGTATTTATATTCATGGAAGATAAATCCAATATTGTACTTTTTTTTCCCATGTATGTACGATGTAGTAACAGTCTGTCTCTTGTGGTGCATCAATAGAGTGGCCTGCTGTCTTGTTTATTTATTTATTTTCCGTATCATCATCAATGTATATATCTCTCAGCTCTAATTTTTCAGCCACATGAAGAAAGAAAAAGGAAAAAAAAATTGCGATAAAAAACTTAAAAATTATAAAATTGTAATATGACTTTTTGAATTAATAAAATTGCAGTCAGAGACGATATCTTAAATATGAATTACAAAATGTTGCTTAAAAGACAAAAAATCCTTCTATGAATTTGAAAAATAAAATCATTGTTCTTCTCCTCTTTCACCATGAAACAGAACGACGACATTGGGTCTTCCTCTCCCTTCCTTGCGTCGCTCTCATACCCAAGAAGAAGAGAAGGATCAGGGCAGCAGCGACGCTCCTTGGGTTTTTCTCCGACTGCTCCCAATGGCATTTTCTCTGTCCGGCTTCAGCAATGGTGCCGAGCTTTCCTTTCCTTCATGCATGGTGGCTGCTATGAAGAAGAAGAACAAGACAACAAGGGAGAGAGAGAAGGAAATAAATAGTGATCTATTAGAGAAAGGGAGAGAGAAATATTTCTCTTATGAACTTGATTCCTAGTTAGCTGAGGAAATAAGCTACGACCTGTTATGTCATGGCATTGATTTGATGCTTCATTCCTAAGGTTCTTCCATTAGTCACAGTAGCTGAAAAGGGTGAGTTCTCCACAAAGATGAAATTGGTGAGTTCACGTTACAATGAGGATTAATGTATGCATCTATATAGAAGGATGAAATCAACCTCATGGTGATGGGTAAAAAGAAAACACTAGTATATGAATCTACACCAAGAGAGCCGCTGATCTGAAGAGAGTTGATTGCGATTCTGAATAAATCCAATTCAAGTGAAGGAAAAGTTTATTTTATTCTTTTCTGCCATGCCGCTGTCAAATAACAAGAGTGATAAGTCAAATAATATGTATGGTAAGCAAAATAATAAGCTTGTGGCTGGGTTTATAATGAAATTTTCATGAAAAGTTATTATTATTTTTACATTTCATAATAAATAATAACAGCGGTAAGCCAAATGATAATAAAAACAAGCGAAATAGTAATTCTGTGATTGGGTTTCTTATAAAATTAAGTTTCATAAAAAAATTGTTATTATTTTCAAATTTTATTGCTAAATGACAAGAGTAGTAAGCCAAATAACAAGAGCGATAAACGAAGACAAAATGACAAGAGTGATAGGCTAAATAACAAATTTGATAAGCGAAATTACAAGTCTGTGATTGAGTTTCTGATTAATTTTAGAACATTAAATAAATCTATATTATTACCATTTAGAATTTATAAATACAAAATGTTAACATTATTTTGCTCATAAACAAAAGACTAAAATTTCTAGATCATCATGTCATCTTACTGCTATCATAGTAACAAGTCTGTGGTTACAATATTACCAAGTAAAATTACAACAATTATAAGTCAAATAACAAAAAATTAGAGATACTTTGGCAGCAACCAGTTTTTGCAAGATTCAGTGATAAGTGCACCTCAAGCTCACCATAAACCTCCTTTAACTAACATTTTCCATCATCAACTTCATCTCTCATTCTTTCTCATGGTATAACCCAAAGAATTAACAAATTTGTTAAGTACTTGGGAATAATAAGTTGAATAAGACGAATTTACAAGTTTTGTATGAAAAATAATAAGTTTATAATTAAAAATAACAAGTTTGATGAGTTGTTAGAAATACCAAGTTGAGTATAACGAATTAACAAGTTTTGTATAGGAAATAACAAGTTTGTTAAATAGTTAGAAATAATAAGTTGAATATGATGAATTGATAAATTTTATATAAGAAATAACAAGTTTGGTAAGTAATTAGAAATAAAAAATTGAGTATGACAAATTGATAAATTTTGTACAAAAAAACGATGAGTTCATAATTGGAAGTAACAAGTTAAAATGAGTGAAGTAACATGACAACAAGATTTTTATTTAAAATAACAAGTGTAGAATAATGAATTAATAAGTTTTACAATAAGAAATAACAGGTTTGAAATAGAAAATTACAAGCCTACAAACAAACTATTATAAGTTGCTCTTTTTGGCCCCTTTTCCCTTTGTCGTTTCTGACCGGCTGGTTTTACTTTGGGCAATTATATTTGGTTTAATGCCTCCAGGGAAAATGTAGTAGAGAAATGACGTTAAGAGCAAATTAAAGGCGGCAAAATTGGATTGTTATTTGTAAAATGCGGCAGGCGAGAGCTGCAAATACGAATATGTTGTTGTTATTAATTAAACATCTCTATATGTAACTTCCCAAACTTCACTGGGTCGTTGGCGCTCAGAAAGCTCTCCCAAAACTCCTTAACTGGCAGCACTCGATTGCTACTCCTGTTAAGGTAAGTCTCGGTGGGCCACGCTTTGATTTTTTCGAACCACAACCTTTCTCGTCTAGCAAACCTCTTCATTCTTACATTGCCAGGTCCAGCATGAGATGCTAATGTTGATTTGTCGTTACGAAAGATCCTACCTTTTTTCCTTCTACTCGTATTTAAGGAGAAGGAAGAGGAGAAGCAGTGAGGAGAAGGACAGAGAGAGGGAGAGGGAGAAAAGGATGAAAGAGAGGGAGATGAGGTGAAAAAAGAGAAGGAAAAAACACAAGGGTATTTAAGTCTTTTTCTAATATTTTATAATTCATATTTAAGGCCTGCTCTTTGATAATAATTTTGTGAATTAAAACATTCAAATTGCAATTTTATATTTTTCAAGGTCTTTTTTTTTTACAATTTTTTCAAAAAAATATTTATAAATAATTCAAGTTTTTCTTAAAAAAGGCTAAATATTGACAATGTTAATGAAAGGATAATTCATCTCGGTTCACGGTGATCCTTTTAACGCCCCCCCCCCCCCAAAAAAGAAAAAAGAAAAAAAGCAAAAAGTCTACGATGATCCCAGAAAGAGACTGTTTACAAGTTCAGATCAACAAAAAATTGTCAGCTTTGAAAGGCGAGAAAGAGATTTCCTATTGCAATGGACAACAACACTTTAAGATCCTCTTTAATTTCAGGGGGGAAATTGATCCCTCCCACTGTGATTTGCATCTATGAACTTGTATTCCAATAAGGTACAACCAATCAAAATGGCTTATCAACAATTCCATGGATGAGCATCATCCAGATTGGAAAGCAGGATATATAACCGCTAACAAATGAAAGCTGTTAAGGAGAGAAAAATCTGTGAGCAAGAACTCAGTTTTCTATGGAGATATTAGTTCACAAGACTTGACAAGATGCACATTCAGTGATCTTCCTCGAGATTTAAGTATCTTTAGCATAAACATCCATGTCACAGCAAATAAAAATGCAACGAAGCGACCCACTACTAGCCCAGCAAGAGCAACTCCCAACAACATTAGAGCCCCTGATGATTCTGAGCTCCCACCTCTATCAATTCTCTCTTGTTCTTGTTCTTGTATATTACCCTCACCTTCCTCTCCCTTCCGATAGGAACCAGTGACTCCGAAATCAACCTCCTCATCTTCAATGCACTCTGGCTTGCTCCAAATATCTTGTTCTTCAATACCTTCTCCCCCCTCTTCTTCTATCTCAGAGATTGCTAATTCATCTAATTCCACTGAACTTGGAACTTCACCGCCTGACTCTGCTTCCTTCTCTTTGCTTAGCTTTTCTATTTCTTCCCTATCTTTGGTTCTCTTTTTCTTCTTCAAACCTCGAAGCTTCTTCGGCACAAGGCTCTTCGCTATCTTGGATTTTAGTCTGCCACTTCTTTTACTCTTGGTTTTATCTTGCGTAATTTCACAAAATGCCTCCTCAATTTCTGAACCAACTCCTTTCTTGTCTTCATAGAAGGAATTTAGTGCAGATCCCAGAAAACAAATCTCTTCACGACGATTTTCAGTCCCAATTTCGCTCTTGGCTTCCACAATTTCAATCTCATCCACTGACGGAGAACCGGAGCTCAACGGAACTTCAATCTTTTCACGAACAAGTGATGGTGGCTCTGAACCTTCATAACTCTGCCTATTCCCCATCACCGACACAGGATTTTGAAACCAATTACAAATAGAAATCCTCTGGGCGAAATATTTGAACGCCATGTTTGCGTCGGAGCAAGGTCTAGACCAGGAAACGAAATGTTTCCCAGCAAATTCAAGCAACAGAAGCACAAATGCGGATATTGTGATCCCGAAGGTAAGCTTCTTCACACTCAGAATCACAGCCAGCACCACAAGCATCTTCAAGACTGCGGCAATTATCTTGTTCGGATCCGAATTCGATCCGCCACTGCACTCACCTAACCGGTCACGGACCTGCTCCGAACCCGGGACCCCATCCTCTCCATTTCCCACCAACCGCTTCGAAGTGGAGGCCTCCGGACAAATCGGGTCCGCACGAGGAAGGACGCAGCCACTCAAATCGGCCGGTCCCGGCGGTGGCGGATCATGGATTTCGTGAGGAGGGCGTTTCCAGGGCTTGGGCTTCTGGAAGCGGCTGCGGTTCTTGACGAAGAGGTCGATGAGGGAGGTGGGGAAGCCGGTCTGGACGACGAGAGAGGAACCGCGCTTGGGAGAGTGAAGATCGGCGACGAAATTGGACAATCGGGCGACCTTCTTTTTCTTCCAGGGAAACGGCATGGTCGTCTTTTCTGTGTCGGCTGCAATTTCACAAGGAAGAAAGAAACACAGAGAACACCGAAAGAGTTGAGAGGGATTGAAGGAAGATGAAGATGGAATGGAATGGGAGGGTATATAGGAGGAAGAAAGAGCAGAGAGTTGGCGAGGTGGGGAGGAGAAAATGGGAAAATGATGGAAACGTGAAGAAAGAGAAGGGAGGGAGAAGTGGCCGAGAAAGTAAAATTATGGTTTTATTGCAGGAGACGCAGTTTCTACTTTTAAAGGCAGCGTAGGTTTAGGTGAGGAGAGAGGAAAAGGGGCAGTATACAGAAAGGGGAAAGGTGATGTAAAAACGTTGTTCAGTTTCAATTTCAGTTGAGATGGAGAAGGCAGCCCTTTTTTTGTTTGGGATAATTTCGATGCTTTCAAGTAAGTTTGTTTCAGTGTTTGTTAATCACTTACGAATTCATTCAACGATAAGATTTTCATCAGAGTCTCCCCTCTGTGACACCATCCCGATCGAGGGCGTGCATGTGAACACGTTTGTTTCTGATGTTGTCGTAAAAAGAAACTTTTAAAATTCACTAGAATTTCTTTTGCGGGAGCGGGGTTAAATCCGTAGACAACACATTGCTGAGAGAAAACAAATACTACCTCCGATTTTTAATATAACATTTTGTTTAATTTTTATTTTGGTTCTAAATATAAGATTTAAATTTATTTTATCTCTCATATTTATATATTTTTTTCTAACGTAGTTATTTTAACAATTGTAGTTTTAACCAGTACATTTAATGAGTAAAGATATTTTAAGAAAGATAATACCTATTTGTTACAAATAACTAACTTAACTTCTTTCCTTAACATTCTCAAATTAGTCAACTATCTTTTATAATTAGGACCGAAGGTAGTACTAGAATGAATATGTTGGGTTCAGAATTTATGATTAAGTAATGAACATATATAGGGGGGAAATTATCTATGTAAATAGTTTGTTCGGGACATGAAGAAACATAAACTTTGGTTAAAAAAAAAAAAGGTGGGGTTAAGATAAGTTGAAGAGACAGGGATGAGAAGTTGAAGGCAAAGGATGACAAGAATAGTGTTATGTATGTAGGGGGTGGGGCTGACAAGAGAAATAATAATTGGTGGAGCAGAGGGAAGCGAAGGAGTGAATGGGCGGTATGATTTCATGGGTGGAGGCTGTATTTAAATTAAAACAAACACACACACACACACAGACACCGGAGAAAAGATGAGAGAGAGGAAGGGGCGGAAAGGAGAGAGAAGGCTTTTTTGGCAAAGAAAAATAACCTGAAAATGACAAGCTGGTCGTGGTGCCTTTATCTTAGGAATGTGGCCCACCTAAGCCATTGCAATCATATCCATAAATATTCATTTACTTTGGGGGCTCTCGCCTCCATTTCAGCTTTGTGTTCTTGCCCGCCATATCTAAGTCCGCGTCACTACTATTCATTTCGTACCTTTTTCTTTCATTTATCTCACTCATACCTTGCTCATGAATGATTCCTGAGGAAGGTCCCAGTTGCATTTTCCGAAGAATTTTATTTGTAGGTGCAAATTTTTTTTTTAATTATTATAGTTCCCAAATAAGCAAAATAAGACCCACTCCTCCCCTCCTATCTCTTCCCCTTTTGTTCGTGTTCGTGACTTCATCACACGCGCACATATATACCCATATACTACCTCTGATCCTAATTATATGAGCCAGTTGACTAATTTAAGGAGATTAAGAAAATAAGTTGAGTTAGTTATTTGTCCTAAATAGGTGTTGTATTTCCTAAAATATCCTTACTAATTAAGTGTATTGACTAGAACTATTATTGTTAGAAGGGCTATTTTGAAAAAAAATGTATAAATATGAGAGATAAAGTAGATTGGGATCTTATATTTAGGATCAAAATAAAAGTCAAATGAGATCTTATATTAAAAACCGAAGGTAGTATATATATATACGCTGCATTTTTTTCCTTCAAACTTCAAACTTTATTCACGGTCGTTTGCTTCTTTTAAAAAACAGCAGAACACGGAGTCTGCTGAACATGGGAAAAAGTTGAAGCAACAATATATATATATATATATATATGTATAGAGCTTAAAATTTGACAAATTATTGAGTATTTAAGCTTAAGTGTTCGTAAATTCTCTATTTGACTGCCGCTCCTATTAATTAACTGATGATGTTGTTTATTGAGCGTATGTTAAAGACAAAGAAGGGAGCGGGATGAGGAGAGAGGAGCACGAGGAATCATATGATGTTGTTTGCCTCTGACTTTTGGTCTCTCCTGCACCCCTCCCATTCTGCCACCTTGTCTTTGCTTTCCCCCCACTTCTCTCTCCTCGCTAACTCTTTTCTTATTTTAATTTTGTTATCCAATGTGATGTACGGATTTATGTGTTCAGAAAAATTAGCATGCACTATAAATTCACGACGAATAGTGTAAAATTATTTTCTTTTTTTTGAGTAGGATGTTATCGCTAACTCAGGGTATCCCAGCGTATCGGCCAGACTAATCTCAGGGTGCCTCGATCGCCAGGAATCGAGCCCATGACCCGGTAGGAGAACGCGCCTTGCGCTCCCGTTTGCGACCAGTCGGACCCAACCCTTGCAAAAAGCATCACATGACAATTTTCACAGAGCCGGTCAACGGCACGCTTATAAAGACACACCGTGCCGTGTTTTGAGGGTTTTGTATTTTGGAATAAGTAAAGCCAAATTTTCATTTCAGGATCGTACCCTGGAGATTCAATGTACGGTAAAATAATCGACCACGACCAAGGTCCTACGTCCTGCCTCTTTACAGTTCACGCCCAAAGATGTCCTCCCGAACGCCTCCAATTATATACTGCTGTACATGATCGTACGTAGTTATATATATTACTCATTAAAAAACGGAAAGCTAAAGATTCAACTTAATAATAATAGTAATACAAATGGCCTTGGATTCTGCCTCCATGGATCTCAGAGATGCTAATGACAGCTGGGAGGGTGACGGCTTTTCTAGGACTATCCACCAGTCATGCCAAGAACTCCAACCATCACGGGACTGTGGAATTTTATACAAACCACCAACAATTTATTTAGGGCCATATATATAGTTACTTACAAGGAAACGATGTGAGAGAATGTCGTGTCATTCATTTTATTTCCTAGAACGGGTAAATCAATGTAATAGTTTTATTTTGAAGCTAAACAGAAATAAGACTAGGGAAAAAACCTTTTTTTAAAAAAAAATCAACGGTGGGTGGGAAACATGGAATAATATTGCGCACAAGCATGCTGGCGAGATCAGTAAGCCGGCGCCGTGCCTCTGCAGTGCAAGTACGTACGTAAAGACTAAAGTATTTAATCATCTGACAATAATCACTGATATAATATATACTACCTCCGGTCTTAATTATAAGAGCCAGTTGACTAATTTGTGAAAATTAAGGAGAGAAGTTAAGTTAGTTATTTATAATAAATATGAGTTGTCTTTCCTAAAATATTCTTACTAATCAAGTATGTTGGCTAAAACTATAATTATTAGAAGAATTATCTTGAAAAAATTGAGTAAATATGAGAGACAAAATGGATTGGGGTCTTATATTTAGGACCAACACAAAAGTCAAATGGTGTCTTATATTAAGGATCGGAGGTAGTATATGCATACTCTTCCGGTCTTTAATATAAGACTGGTTTAACTAATTTGATTAGATTAAAAAAGTTAGGTAAGTTAGTTAATTATAAGAAATGTGACACGTTTTTTTCTCTAAAATATTATAATCATCTTTTTTAATACCCATTCTTCCTCTTCTACTTGATTATGGCCGAGGGAGTATTCATAGGGGCAATTTAAAGAAAATTAATAAATATAAGAAATGAGTCTTATATTTCAGACTAATACCAATTCAACAATTAAATCTTATATTAAGAATCGGAAGAGTATTTTGGTTCGTGATTCATTTTCTTTGAAGGTACGCTAGAGGAATTCATTCTCGATCAACATGTGTGCAGTGAATCATGAAACCTAGCTCGCTGCTAAATTATCGATCAAACATTGAGAATGATGGGGGCCCTTCAATCACGGATATTGAGAACTGACTGGTCCAATGAATCCTTTCGTTGTGTGTGGCTTCTCCACTCCTAGTCTTAGCTTAGCGTGATTTCATATTCATTCATCATAATTGTAAGAAATTATTAGTGCTTTTGTCCAAATTTACATTTATAATATACTACCTTCAGTCTCTAATATAAGATTTAGTTCATTAATTTAGAAAGATTAAAAAAACTAGTTAAACTAGTTATTTGTTATAAATAATTGTTGTCTTTTCTAGAATATCCTTACTAATCATGTATATTAGTTAGAATTACTATTTAATGAAACCTTTAATATGTATCACTATTATAAAAACTATATAAGTATGAAAAACAAAATGAATTAAAATCTTATATTTAAAATTAAATTAAAAATTAAATTCTTATAATAAAAAACGGAGGTAGTATATATGCAAGTTGCTGCAAAATTCACGGTGGCATGTTTGGTTTTACATCCTGGAATTAACAATTCACCAGCACACAACTTCATTTTCATCCTTAATTACCTGCCTGCTTGCATCTTAGTCTGTCCGCTTCACGTCATTTCAACATGGGCCAGACCTTAGTTCATCTCATTACAATATCCTCACACTCTACCTAATCACAACAATTATTTATTACTGTATCCGGTCTTAATTATAAAAGTTAGTTGACTAATTTGAGGATACTAAGAAAAGAGGTTAAGCTAGTTATTTGTAATAAATAGATGTTGTTTTTTTAAAAATATCCTTGTTAATTAAGTATATTGGTTAGAACTACCATTATTAGAAGGACTAACTTATAAAAAAATACATAAATATAATTGACAAAATAGATTGAGGTATTATATTTAGGATCAAAATAAAAATTAAATAAGGTTTTATATTGAAAACCAGAGATAGTATATTTACGCAACAACGAAACAAAAAAACCTTCTTCCTAGTCTCTAGTTGAATCATTCGGTGCATGTTTCCTTTAATTCTTATTTTGCGTTTGGATTTTCTGCCTTTTGAGAAATAATTTTTAGGGCAAGAAAAAAATGCTTCGTCAAAATCCCCAAGAGAATAATCCTCGATCCGTCACTGTTTTTCCCCCCTTCGATTGGATGAAAATAGTTATACTAATTGTTTTTTCATAAATTAAGTTACATTTTCTTGTGCTAAAATAGACTTTGGAATTATTACTTTTATCCTTTTAGGCTATTCTTTTCTCACATCAAGAATTTGAACTCTAGATTCTTCCGCTCCGAAACAACCATTGTCACAATGATGAGAAATGTTTTGTCATCTTACCATTAAAAAGTATACCATTTTTTTTTTAACTAATACAGATTTTTTAATTTATTAAAAATATAAATAAATTTAAAATTCTCACCAGAAAGATATTTTAGACTTCTTTTTCTGCTTTTTTATTTTGGGGAGTGGATTTGAAAAGTGGTCGGGCATTGAATTGAATGGTCAATATGATTTGAAAATGATCTGTCACCAATGATAAACACACCCCGCCCTTACTTGGTACCCCGCCTCCGCCCTCCTTGCCTCCCTCGCTCTCTCAACGCGAACCCTCCTGTCTCCATTGTCCCACAACAAAATGAGAGAAATCCTCCATATACAGGGTGGCCAGTGCGGCAACCAGATCGGTGCCAAGTTCTGGGAGGTCATCTGCGACGAGCACGGCATTGACCCCACCGGCAAGTACAACGGTGATTCCGACCTCCAGCTCGAGCGCATCAATGTCTACTACAACGAGGCCAGCGGCGGCAGGTACGTTCCGCGCGCCGTCCTTATGGATCTCGAGCCTGGCACTATGGATTCCGTTAGATCCGGTCCCTTCGGTCAGGTCTTCCGCCCCGATAACTTCGTCTTTGGCCAGTCCGGTGCCGGCAACAACTGGGCCAAGGGCCACTACACCGAGGGAGCCGAGCTCATAGATTCCGTCCTGGATGTTGTGAGGAAGGAGGCCGAGAATTGCGATTGCTTGCAGGGTAATCACCCGGCTTTCGATCTCCTTTCATGTTTTCCTTTCCTGTCCCTTCCAGTTGCCTTTTCTAATCAACCGTTTATTTGTGAGAAGCTGCTTGGTTTGGTTCTTGGTTACGATGTCACTGCCTGATTTGCCGATTTGTATATATATTTCACATTCTTTACATTTTCTTTCTATCCTCATTCTGTTCCGAACAAAGGCCTGATATAGCGCATGATTTCTTGATACTGGTCTGTATTCCTGATACACCATGCATATCGATTTGTTTCGTGATTCTCATGTTGTACTATTGCTTCCATTATCTCCAAAAATAATTCATGAAAAGGCAACTTATCCGATAATGCTCCTTTTAATGTTGGCCATGCTTGAGTTTTTTGAATTCTGCATACTAATTGTTTATGCTGCCAGTGTTGCCTCCTGTCATTGTTGATTTTGCTGTTTGGATGCATCACAATTTTCATTTCTGCCAAGAAATTTCACAAATCTAATTTTGTTCAAGGCTTCAAGCTAATCCCGATTAAATCTTATACATGAACAGGATTTCAAGTTTGCCACTCTTTGGGTGGAGGCACTGGCTCTGGAATGGGAACACTTCTCATTTCAAAGATCCGGGAAGAGTATCCAGACCGCATGATGTTGACATTTTCTGTCTTTCCTTCTCCTAAGGTATCTGATACAGTTGTAGAGCCATACAATGCCACACTTTCTGTGCATCAGCTTGTTGAAAATGCTGATGAATGCATGGTCTTGGACAATGAGGCTCTGTATGATATCTGCTTCCGAACTCTGAAGCTTGCTACGCCTACCTGTAAGCACCTCCCTCCCTTCTAGTGGAGTCAACTCGACCTGGTGCAACTTATTATCATTTTTATCATCACTACTGGTGCTGCTGTAGTTGTTTACTTCTGAGTGATTACCAACATTTAACAACAATTGATATAGATATAGTGGCGGGGTTTACCTTTTCAATATACCATTTAATGATAGACTAAGTAATATCACTATGTTTGTTGGGAGAATTCACGGGTATTTAGGTCACATGTCTCTTTCATGGCTGGTGGTTATGGTTGTTGAGTTTTGTAATCATTTGGTTATTATTTGCTTTAATAGATGAAAGCTCACAATCTTGTTCTTCTTCCTCTTTTGGAATTGCTTTATGACAGTTGGTGATCTTAACCACCTAATATCTGCTACCATGAGCGGAGTTACTTGTTGTCTACGCTTCCCCGGACAGCTGAACTCCGATCTTAGAAAGCTTGCTGTCAATCTTATCCCATTCCCGCGTCTCCATTTCTTTATGGTTGGGTTTGCTCCCTTGACATCCCGAGGATCCCAGCAGTATCGTGCCTTGACTGTGCCTGAATTGACCCAGCAGATGTGGGATGCTAAGAACATGATGTGTGCTGCAGATCCACGCCATGGTCGTTATTTGACTGCTTCAGCAATGTTCCGTGGTAAGATGAGCACAAAGGAGGTGGATGAACAGATGATTAACGTACAGAACAAGAATTCTTCATACTTTGTTGAGTGGATTCCCAACAATGTGAAGTCTAGTGTGTGTGATATCCCGCCCAAGGGTCTTAAGATGGCGTCCACTTTCATTGGAAATTCAACTTCAATTCAGGAAATGTTCAGGAGAGTTAGTGAGCAGTTCACAGCAATGTTCAGGCGCAAGGCTTTCTTGCATTGGTACACTGGTGAGGGAATGGACGAAATGGAGTTCACTGAGGCCGAAAGTAATATGAATGATCTGGTGGCTGAGTATCAGCAATATCAGGATGCTACTGCTGATGAGGAAGAGTATGAAGAGGAAGAAGAGGAGATGGATGCTTGAGTGCCCGTTGTCATTTCTCGAAATTCTTGAAATTTTAATATGGTTGGCTTTGAATGTGTGGAGTCCATATTTTCGAGCAGTCATTAGCTTGACTTGTTAATGTGTTTGTTGTATGGATCATGGGCCAAAATGTAAGCCGGGATTTGTTGACAAGGTTTTGAGACAACTATTGGATGGATTCTTCCAGGCAAATTAATCTATATTGACGTTGTCAAGTAATCTGTTTTAGCAATCATCTTTCACCCTCGCTAGTTACTATTGCATTGTCAGCAACAGTCAATGAGTCATTGTTATAAACTAGCAGAATATTATTAAAAAGAATAACATTATTGCCAAAGCACTGTAATGCTTCTCTGCGAACAAGTTATTACCCCAACCAAGGCTACCATCAAATCTAAAGCCATCTTCACAAGTAACTATTGCAATGTCAATAACAATTAGAAAGTCAGTTGCAAACCTGCCAAATAAATTGAGTCAAAATAACACTAGTTGCCAAAGCACTGTACTTTAAAAGGTGGAAATCCTAAAAGAAAGTCTTTTTACTTTTATGGTTCTGAATATAATATTTTAATTCATCTTATCTCTTAAATTTATAATTTTTTAATTTTTTTTTATTGATTGCACATATTAAAATATTTACATTAATGTGATAGCTTTTAATACAAATAATTAAAAGGGGTACTTTAAACTTTTTTTCCCTTACAATATTTCTTTAATATTGATAAATTATTTATGTAGTTGTGGTAAGACAATGATATTTTACCATTTTGATCCACCGGAAAATAGTCACAAATACAACAAGATAGAAGCTAAGCTTAAAGCAGCTCCGGACTTTGAAGTGCATAAAAATCTATGATTCTTACATGTCTAGCATTTTAACTCATGCCAATGTGCACCCAATATGAACAGCACGTAATATCTAATGGCGTCATTGCAGTGCCGCATAGATAAAATAGCATGCCGGCTATACTCCCCTCACAAGGTAGTTTACTGTACTCATCCTCTGGCTAAAATAGATAGTCAGTCCTGAGTGCTGTCTTTAATCCATTCCAGGTATTTGAGATTGCCCCCAGCGATGGGTAAGGATATCACCTCAGGCGTCCTGATGAAATCACACAAGGAAAGGGTGAGGAGACGAGTATTAGAATGCATCATTATTTTAAGTTCTCCTCAACAGTCAAAGTTCTCCAGTCTTGGCAAATTCAAAACCGATATGACGATATGGTTCAACTCGAACTTATTTGCAGTTTTCTTCTCTTTAGTTTTAAGAATGTCAAATGTTGGTGCCCAATTTTTAATTTGAATATTTCCCTCCTAGTTTTCAACTTGTTGCAAGACCACTACAAACATGCTACTGATATGATGTGTGTGTGTGTGTGCATTTCTGATGTTAGCAAGGGGGTGTATTGGTGATGTTAGCAAGGGGTCAATTCTTCCCCACAATAATCCAAATGACCCAGTAGGCATTAGCCCCCTTAGTAAATATAGAAAAGAACCAAGGAAATTACTAACCTATGGAAACATTTCCACCTGAATCCTTAAGTTTACTTAATTTACAAATAGGTAGATGGCGACTCCCTATTGGGCCATGTGGAGGCGCATGGGTAGACCGCTACCTACTTTTATGGAAGAATTTAGTGCCATGACAGCGAAGAGAGCAACACCATTTAGTTGAAACAAGGAAGACCAGATAATGTTTTAAAACTAGGAAGAGCAAGAGCAGTTTGAGCCTTCTAGTTATTACATTCAGTTGCGCGAACTACCACTCAAGTCCTTTCATCTTAAAATTTTTTAGTATCTCGTAATAATTTACATTTATCATAACACTATCCACCAGAAGCATAAGCCTTACTCATATTCATGATTTGCTTTGACATGCTCGGTCAGTGCTTCCAAAAGGGACTGCCTAGTCTTGATTATAAGAAGCTCTTCCGAGTCAGTTTGGATCTGTCATTTTTCAATACATAGGTGACAAAGTCAGGCTACAGAACATTTTCAATTAAATTCTGTAAGCTATTCAGACTACTTGTCCACAAGAACATAAACGCATAAAAGAAAGTAAGAGCTTGTAATGTTAGGATGATAAAGCTCTAGAAGTATTTCTACCAATATTAGCATTTTTGGTCGGTATTGGAAATGTAGTTCATACCTCTCCCTTCCACTGATATACAGATTCAATACCTGCATAAGAAGATACACATGGTTTATAAAAGCCAAATAAGTGGAATGTATACTCGCAGCTACTGCCTCCTGGCCATGACATATGACACTTTTAACCCCATTAAGTCGCAGCCCTACCAGTACAAAAGCAGGGATTCTTGACATCTTAACTATGGAAACACTAGACATGAAATAAATAACTAAAAAGCCCAGAATGGAAAATGATAACAATGCATATCAACTCACTCAAGTCAGAATTACAGAAATGGCTATATCATTAAACATGCATACAGGTAGTTCTCAAAATGCATCATCTATAGACTTTAAGTACTAAATCAGCAACTACTCCAAAAGGAAGTAGCCAAGCAATGCTTTTAAAACTGAATCACTCGTTGAATCAGTCAAAGTATTAGCTTAAGGCTCACTCATTTAACTATAGACAAATCATGGTTGAATTGATAGTAATTAAATTAATATATTTTCAATTTTATATATTAAAATATTATATAGAAAATAAAAACCCATCACTAAGAAATTTCTTAATATTCAAACCTAGATAAATTAATATCCATCAATAGTCACACATTGAACTCAAAATAGGAAGCTAATAATCCATCACTGTGGTATTTATTATGTAAATTCATAGCAATTATTAATGGTTATGCACAAGAGTAATACTTCTGTAGTATCAGAATATAGGAAGAAAAAATTTACCCCAAAAGCACGCCCTTTTGCACCAACAACGACAAAAAGTTCAAACAAAAAGGTTGAAACAATAACCTTGCTGGTTCTATAGAGTTTTGGAATGTTTTTGTCCCCGGTTCACTGGTTTCCAGGTTGAACTGGTTGGTTTGGTCCAATCATGATAAACACGAAACAAACATGTATTTTGAACAAGTTTCTTTGCTTTGAGAAAACTATTTTCAAAGGATAAAACAAGCTTCATTTTTTATGATTCAAGTGAATATGTTCAGGACATTCAAGCAAGCCCATCTAAAGAAAAATTAACAATGCTAAAACCTCGGTTAAACCCCGGCAATAATAAAGTTTATACCTGGAACCCTATTTACGCAAGCTGCAAGTTTTTCTTTGACGATGCTTTCAGCCAACTTTTTGCCTGAAGAATCAAATATTAAGTACATAAATAAAAACTTGTTAAAAAGCCGACCCCCGCCCAATTACTCCCCGGCTCCATCGTACTTGTAAACGCAAGTGGGATCCATGATATTAGAACAGAGCCCACGTAAATCTTAAGCCACAACCCCAAGCTCTGAACTAAGCATCAGAGATTTGAGACAAGAGGATGATAAACGGAATCAAAGTATACAGCTTGATCCCGGCGATACTCATTCATAATCCGATTCCGCAGCAACCCACTAAGAAAACGAGGGAAAAGAAAAATAAAAGACTCGAACCTGCTTCTTTGCTAGGAACAGTGACATACACAACGATGCTTGGAACGGTGGAGGTACTGCCTTCCATTCCGGTCGCAGGAGATTGGCCACCAAATTTGGATCTGGAGCGGTGAGAAACAACAGTGAGAAATCAGAGGACAGATGATAGATACAACGGAAAGGTAGAAGAGGAAGAAGAAACCGTGAGTTGGTGAGAGAGGAGTAGAAGGCAGAGGAGGCGAAGGCGAAGATGCAGACGGCCCCAATGAGCGGCAAACGACGTCGCAGCGTGGAGGGAGAAAGGAAAGATGGCTGAGAGCGCACTGGGGAAGGCATTGGCGTCAAGCTTTACTTGAGTCAAGTCGCGCCGCCCTTTTTCACTTCTTTGTTGTGTGCTAATTAAAAAAAATTCTTCATTAACATATTTTATGACTTTATTATTATTATTATTATTATTTTGTTCAAAAATAATTTTTTTAATATAATACATCAACCTTAATAACAACGTACAACACCGATTTCAACAATCATTTGAATAATCTGCAGAAAACTTTGTCGGAAAAGAATTCATTATGATGATTGTTTCTTATTGGTGATATGACTAGTATCGCGACTATATATACTACCTCCGCTCCTAATTATAAGAGTCAGTTGACTAATTTGAGGAAATTAAAAAAGTAAGTTAAGTTAATTATTTGTCCTAAATAGTTGTTGTTTTTCCTAAAATATCCTTGTTAATCAAGTGTATTGACTAAAACTATTATTGTTAGAAGGACTACATTGGAAAAAAAAGTATAAATATGGAGATAAAGTAGATTGGGGTCTTATATTTAGAACCAAAATAAAAGTCAAACAAGGTTTTATATTAAGGACGGAAGGTAGTATCTTCAAAAGAGAACGACAAAAAGAAAGAAAGAAACATTGAATTGAAACCGATTAATGTGGATAAAAAAATCATGATCCGCTAGCTAATTCATAATACAGATTACAGTAAGATGCTTCAAATTTTCATCCACATTCTCTACATGAATTTCAAATTTTTAAGTGCTCACTCTTCAATAATATTAATTTTAAACCTCGCAGGATGAATGTGTATATATATATGGATCAGCAAATGTAGAGATTAATCTCTACATATATGCATGAATCCCCATCACAACGTATTCGTCTCAATCTTGTTCATTTTGTTTCTTCCTTTGTGTGTTCGCGCGAGCGCGCATATTTCCTGAACAAATAAATAGACAAGTTGAAGGCTTCAACTTAATTAATCAATCATCATAACTAGTGATTAGCCGGACAAGCCAAGTCCGGCTATATATAATCCCGGCTGGTGTGTGGTGCAGGTGCCTGATGTTGAAACCAAATTAATTGAGATGACCATTCCTTCTCTTGTTTTATTTTTAATTTTCTTTGGCCATTAAATAAGATGACCATTTCACTTCCTTGGGCGGCAAAGATATCTTGCATATAGCTTGCTAGGCTCATCCTCATCAGCGCCGATATAAAGAGGCCACATTGCCACCACGCACTTTCATCACGCCACATACATCTCATTAACATCTGATTACAATTCATATTATATATATTACTGCACTGCTTGATCTTCTGCATAAAATGGCTAATCCACCTTCATTCATAGTGTTGGAGCTCTTGGCGCTCTCATTCTCGCTCGTCTTAGCAGTTGATCAGAGTACTCTTCAAGATTTCTGTGTGGCTGATCCAAATGGCCAAGGTAAAGCATATATATGTGTATACATAGATGTATGCCAAAGTAGATGCCTTTAATTATGAAGAAAGATATATATATGTGTATGTATATACTGTACTATATTTGCTTAATATTCTAACCAGACACTTGTTTGTCAATTATTTATGACAGCGTTGGTGAATGTGGTCTGGTGCTCAAGGACCCAAAACTAGTCGAAGCGGAAGATTTCTTCTGTAGTGGCCTTCACACAGCAGGCAACACATCAAACCAAGTAGGGTCCAAGGTGACTCCTGTGTTTGCAGCTCAGGTCCCAGGATTGAACACTCTAGGAATCTCCTTGGCACGCATTGATTTTGCCCCATGGGGTATCAACCCTCCTCATCACTTGCACCCTAGAGCCACTGAGATCCTCACTGTTCTTGAAGGACACATAGAAGTTGGATTTGTGACATCAAACCCAGAAAATCAATTCGTCAGAAAAGTGTTGCAGAAGGAAGACGTGCTTGTGTTTCCCATAGGGCTCATTCACTGCCAGAAAAATGTTGGTGATGCCTATGCCGTAGCAATTGCAGCTCTTAGCAGCCAGAACCCAGGAGCCATAACCATTGCTAATTCGGCGTTTGGGTCAAAACCAAACAAACCCAGTGATATTCTTGCCAAGGCTTTCCAATTGGATATATAATAATGTTGCCAACATCTGCAGTCCAAGTTCTAGAACAAGTGATTTTTGCATCGGTTCCAGTATTGGTTTGTTCTGATTATATTTAGTGCGTCTGTTAGAGGTCTTAGTTGAGGTATATATGTTTAGTTACGGTTGTTCCGTTGTATTGTCATGGTCCAGTGATCTAATCCTTTTGCTGTGTTGTTGATGATTCAGTTTACTTCAAATTCATCTTATAGCTACGTTTATGTACCTAATTCTAAAATATTGTGTTAGTGAAGATTGTGTATGGAAAAATTGTTGTTAATGTGACCATTTTTATTTCTATTGTTGTCTTTTTTATTTTTGTATTTTTCCAATTAATTAATCATCATTTTTTTTTCTGAAACCAAATTAACAAAATAAACCACTGAACTAATTCATGAAAAAAAAAATTTAAAACAAAACTAAAACTAAAATAAAATATATGCATGGCGCAACGCTCTACCTTTTCTTATGAGTTATGACTACGTTATAATTACTAAAACATTTAATTATTTTTTCTTTATTCAATAAGAAACACAATAAAAACACACATTTATATATAATAAGTGAGTGGGGTTATTTAAAATACCCCATCACATGCGCTATTTGTAACACAAAATTTCCACCTCACAATTCTTTCATCCATATTAATTTTTTTGTAATTAATAACAAACATATTGACAAATGTTCATGTTTTTCTTCCTCTCAAAGGTTTTAACTTTTAAATAATAGAGAGACTGAAGTTCAGTAAAGCATAAGTAAATTTATTTCTTCCATGTTCAATGGATACAAATATAATTATTTCGAAAGAGAACTGCCTTGAATAGAAAATACAAGGAAAAACAATACTTCTCAGTTATTAATTTATTTGGTTGAAATTAATTTATTTAATTGAAATGAGGATATTGTTTAAATTAAATTAACTTGTCATGCCTTTGTGCGCGTCCTGGCTGAGGATCGAATTGAAGAGATAGCCTATCTCTTGCAAACAACTCCTTGGCCGTCGATCCCGCTTGCACAGCTTAAGCCAGGTAGCTCCGAGCCCTCCATGTTAGCCTCACTTCTGATGAATAATCCATCATCGGTACCAGCAAAGCGAGAAACAGAACAATCTGGGACAAACAGGCTTGTCGTTTTAAACTCCTTGTCTCCTCCCATTATCGGCATTTTCGCCTTTATGTTCACCCTGCTCACATAGTCTGGTCTGTAAGTTTGGCCCAACACGCCACTCACTTGGTCACTCAAAGACATGAGTTTGAACCCCAGATCCAGGTGAGCGAAACAATCCTCCTTCGTTATCCCATAGTTGTGGATTCTTGAATCTTCCTCAGTTATAGGGACAACCTTGGCCGTTATTCTGGCTCTCCCTTCGATTTCCACTGTAACATAGTTTGTTTCGGCGGCCCTTGTGATGACCACACGTGGGGAAGTGTTGGATTTCCAGATGGCGCCTTCTGATTGTTGGAGGGCGAGGGGTTCGCCGTCGAAGTTGAGGGCCAGGCGGTCTATGTAGTCATTCCACGTTGCTGTTTTTTGAGCACCGATGAAGATTTGGTGGTTGTTGAAAAGAATGGCGATGGATTGGACCCAAGTGAAGTCTCTGTTCATATTAGGGTTTCTTCTGCCAATGAAATGGGCATTTATGTGAATGTTAGGATCTGACACGAGACAGAAGTTACCGTCCTTCTTGCCATGAAAGTAAAATGTTATCCCATCGCCTCCCACGAAACGAGGGTCTTGGCAAACTGCTCCGGGTTTGTCGCATTCTGCATGCCAAATTGCCAATGAATATATTATAAGAGATTAATCTAAGATAAACTTTAGAAACTGTGTGATACTAAATGTTCTAGGTTGTACTCGGGTTATTTTCCAACAACGTAAAACAGTGAAGGCTATGTATGAACCAAATACTCCTCCGATCCTAATTATAAGACCCAATTGACTTATTTGAGAAGATTAAGGAAGTAAGTTAAGTTGGTTATTTATAATAAATAAGTGTTATCATTCCTAAAATATCCTTGCTAATTAAGTATATTGGCTAAAACTATCATTATTAGAAGGATTATCTTGAAAAAAATGCATAAATATAAGAGACAAAATGGATTGGGGTCTTATAATTAGGACCAAATAAAAAGTCAAATTAGGTCTTATAATAAAGACCGGAGGAGTATCATATATTTGATAAGAGATCTCAGATCGGTCAATGCATGAACTCTGATTAGAAGCCATATATATGTTCAAGGTTATGAAAAAATAACCCCGCTCGAGTTGCAACTTCATATGGAACATTAAGGTTGTAATTTGTAGCTATGTATCACCAACAAAAGAGAGGCTTTTCTACTTAAAGCACTCAATGCTAATTTCCAACAAAGCTTGTCTAAGAACCTTAGGTGATGCGATCATTCGCGCGCGCACACACACAAATGATTTTCAGTCAAATCATAAACAAATATTTTTTTTCTTCATATACCTCACCATGACATTATTGTATCGTTTTTGAAAAATTTCCTTCATCTTGTATTTATACTAGATAACTAATAACACGTGACAATGAAGTTTACCCTAAATCTTGAGCTCTGCATACATATATAAACACAAGGATAAGAGAGAAACAAGTGTTAGTATATATTACTTCTGGTCATTGATATAAGAGCTAGTTGATTAATTTAAGTAGATTAAGAAAATTAATTAAGTTAGTTATTTGTAATAAATACGTATTATCTTTCCTAAAGTATTTTTACCAATCAAGTATATTGGTTAGAACTACTATTATTATAAAGACTATCTTAAAAAAAAAGAATAAATATAAGAGACAAAGTGGATTGTGGTTTTATATTTAGGATCAAAATAAAAATCAAATGAGTTCTTATATTATTGGAGGTAGTATAAGAGACTTACTGCAAATAGGTTTGCAAGTGAGGCAATCAACGTCACATCTAGTTGGGCAGGCAGCGGGACAAACGTGTTCCATGTTATAACATTTTGGATAGTACTTATTCTTGCACATGGCTGTGTTTGAAGATGGTGTAGAAGGGGCAGGAGATGATGGAGGTGGTAGGCTATGATCAGGTGTGGAAGGAGTGCTAGGATTTGATGGTGGTGGTGGGCTGTGGTCAGGTGTAGATGGAGTGCTAGGATTGATGGTGGTGGTGGGCTGTGATTAGGTGTAGACGGAGTGCTAGGATTTGATGGTGGTGGTGGGCTATGATCAGGTGTAGATGGAGGAGTGCTATGATGAGGTGTGGAAGGAGTAGTGGGTGGTGATGGCGATGGAGTGGATGGAGGAGGTGGTGATGGCGATGGAGTGGATGGAGGAGTGCTATGATCAGGTGTGGGAGGAGTAGAGGGTGTTGATGGTGATGGAGGGTGTGGTGTAGGAGTTGGAGATGGTGGGTTATGATCAGGTGCGGAAGGAGTGCTAGGATTTGAGGGTGGTGGTGGGCTGTGATTAGGTGTAGACGGAGTGCTAGGATTTGATGGTGGTGGTGGGCTATGATCAGGTGTAGATGGAGGAGTGCTATGATGAGGTGTGGAAGGAGTAGTGGGTGGTGATGGCGATGGAGTGGATGGAGGAGTGCTATGATCAGGTGTGGGAGGAGCAGAGGGTGTTGATGGCGATGGAGGGTTTTGCGGTGTAGAAGGAGTTGGAGATGGTGGGTTATGATCAGGTGTGGAAGGAGTGCTAGGATTTGATGGTGGTGGTGGGCTGTGATCGGGTGCAGATGTACAGATAGGTTTACAAGAGGCGCACTCAACAGTGCAACCATTGGGACAGAACTTAGGGCAAACATGCACCAAATTGTAGCAGTGCTTGTACTTCTTTATCTTGCATGTTGCATGGCTTGGGTTTTTGGCTATTCCTGGCGGGGTTTTTGCTTCTGCCACAACTAAAACCATAATTATTCCCAGCAATAACACACAAGATGAAGCCATCTCTTGAGATCACTATGCGCAGTTCTCAAATATGGCCTCTAATTCCTAGTTTGTGTTGTCACCTTCATATAAACCTGTCCCTTTTATAGATATGCGAGGAAGAGCAGTCCTGAGAGAGGCACATGCCAACAATTCGGTATTATGGCTTTTGGCTCGAGTCTTCACGTGGTTGCTTCATAAAACAAAACTATTGAACCCGCTTTTGGTTTTTGTATATTATTGCATGGCTTAAGGCCTTATATATACTTGCATGCTAAGTAAAGGCTTCGCCAAAAATAAAAATGGCATGCCCATGTTCTGAGTATTTATAAATTCCAAGGAGGGCAGTCAAAGGCTTTGCATCCGGAAGGATAAGCTATGCGAGACATACAATAAAGACACAACAGTTCGTTGTCATTCATTATATATATATATTGTCGGTTTATGCGACTCCTTCCTGCAATAATGGGACTTGCATCATATTGTTGTTTAATAAATTAAATAATATTTGACTTGCCATCCACATTTCCTTTTTCCATCTTTACAGTCGTCATCATATAAGTTATTAAGTTATATACTATTCGTTTAATACTACTTCTAGTCCTTAATATAAGATCTCATTTAATTTTTAATTTGGTCCTAATTATAAGATCTCAATCTACTTTGTCTCTCATATTTATACATTTTTTTCCAAGCTAGTCTTTCTAATAATAGTAATTCTAGCCAATACACATGATTAACAAGGATATTTTAGGAAAGACAACATCTATATATTATAAATAACTAACTTAACTTATTTTCTTAATCTCTTCAAATTAGTCAACTCGCTCTTATAATTAGAACCGGAGGTAGTAATATCTTATCCCTTCATTTCTGGAGTTATCAATCAAACTCCATGCTCATGATATTGTTTTGATGTTAACCAATAAATCATACATATATACATACATGACCGGGTTCCGTTTCCCCTTCGTTATCAAGTGATTCCCTCTTAATGTTCCCTTTCTGCCTACAATTTATCATAATATATAAGCACATGACACATTTAGCTTTGCGTATTCCGTCAGCACATTAAACGTTAGGGTTGTGTATTTATAATGGAAGTGATGCCACGGATCATTGTGGAATTTTAGTATTTAACAAACTGAACAATAGTGAACAAAAATCGGAAAACATGGAAACACATTATTGCAAGGGATAGGAAAAAGATAATGAAATACTCTCAAATCAAGATGGATGAATTTTAAAATCTCAGATCATTAGCAATTTTTAGGGTATTTTATTGTTTTTTTCCCCCTTATGGCAATGTATTGGAATGACCACGACACGACGAACCCATCACATGGTTCAACGGTCACCCAGTCGTCCACTCTTTTTGGGTGAATGAATTTGTCGTGAGGCTTCCTTGACATTAGAATTGAAGAGGGTGTCCCTTGTGAATCTCCAAACATTATGAGAGTAACATCAGAGACGAAATATTATTCCAAAGCAGATCACTGTCAATGAACTTGTGAAGCTCTTGTTTTAGGTCATCCAGTAAGTACTTAAGACAACAATATGATATACTAGTTCTGATCCTTAATATAAAAATTAGTTTGACTTTTAATTTGATTTTAAATATAAAAACCCAATCTATTTAGTTTTTTATATTTATCATTTTGCTTAAAATAGTTCTTATAGTAGTTGCCTATGTGAAATTTGAATGTTTGTTCTTTTTGTTTTTTTGGTGAAACTATATGGTGACTCTTATTTGTTTTTTTTCAGAGATACTTCCCACCATCTCCATCTTGCTCAATTCCATACCTGATAGACTTATTTTGAAATTTTCTTACTATGTACAATCATTTTCAAACTCATTCCCTCTCTCCTTTCTAGAGATTATTCCTTTTTTTCTCAACACCCTAGTTTGACTCGTTTTGCTCAACTCAATTCAGATTCTTCTTCCTTCCTTGTATTGGGTTCGTAGTGTGTTTTCTTTTTATTTTTCCCTCTTCACCGACTTCTCCGGTCCTCCCTCTTGGTTGCTTATGTGGTGCTGAGTTGGAAGTGATTTTCTTAGCCATGCTTGCCATGTAGGATGACTCATGATTAGTTCGAGATGACAAACATCATAATATAAAAAGGCAAAGATAAAGAAATGAATCATAAGAGTTAAAAGTTTAACAACCGACTCGTATTGAGTCATAATTAAAGAATTGAATTATAAGTGAGTCAATAGTTAAAGATTAAGATTAATTTTCCCTTCAAATTACTTTCCCAGAACTAAAGAAATTTTGGCATAATTGCTTAAAAAAATCCCGTATCGTTAAAAAAAAAAAAATACTGATGAAGATTGATTTAGCGGAAGTTCCACTTAAAAATTAAACCGGAAATACGGCAAATTGTACGCGTCATAGACGAAAACATTGTGAGAAGGGGGGCAAAAGGGCTATTACTTATTTATCAAGTAAACACTAAGAAATTTGCCAAACTGCGACCATTTTTCCAATTAAAGCTAAAAAGAACTCCAGATTCACAACGTTTTTATATTTTGAGGATCAAATTCATAACTATTGGAGTGTTCGTTGATATTATGATCAGAGACATATCATAATGCAAATAACCTCAGCATAGTTTAAAAGACAGTTTTACAGAGTTCGCCGCCCCTAAAATAGAAAACAAAAAAAGCCGAGGAAACTTCAGAGAAGAATGTAACACCCGTATATGCGAGAGAGTGCGAGGGCGAGGAAGGGCCCACTGTAATCATGAAGCCAATGGATCCAAGGATCCATGGAATTTTATTATTTAACAACTGAATAGTAATCAGCAAAAATTGTAAAACATAGGATACACATTATTGCAATGCAAGGAATGACCACAAAACCATCAAAGCCCAATAACCAAGCTTTACAATGCAACATCCTTCGATTTAATAAATAACTTCTCGATAAATCCAAATTCTGATTCAACTAGTTACCGATGCCTCAATACAACATGCTATTGCTCTAAAGACAATAATGTAATCATGGACGCAGATAGCTAGGAGGCATCTAGAAAAAGCCCCCATTACAATGTTCAATGGGCACCTGGTTCTCCACTCGATCTTTTTGGGTGAACAGATTTGTCATGAGGCTTCCTTGCTTAGTCGAGCTTGACATTAGAATAGAGGAGGGTATCCCTTGTGAGTGGCATATTCAAAAGATAGCATATCTGTTTGCGAAAAGAGAAATGGTCAATATTTACCCTTCAACTCTCAGTACCAGCTTCAGCTGGTATTGTCGAGATGAAAGCAAGCAAGATCTTCAAATAAATACTTGTTTGTTGATTCTACCATCAGAAATATACCATGTGGGTATAATCTAACCATAATTTTGAGCAATACGTCCAGTTTTGCACTACCCATCCTCGATAAAAGGTAGCACTAAAGTAAGGAAACAACCCAACGAAAAATACTGCCCAAAAAGTCCTCTGACCTGTGGCAAGATCTCATTGGGAAATATTTGCAACCCGTAGATAAAAAAAAGTTACTTTCATTTGTCTTTGTTTCACAAGAATGTCTCTCGCTTTAGTTAAGGTCTTCAATTTTCAAATATTACCATCATCGTTCACAGAGGACTTACCCCTATCAGAGTTGAGATGAGCAAAATCAATCCTGTTACCCATGCAAGGGTTCGCCTAACGAACACCACTTCCGCAAGTGATACATTCAATGCTTTATCTTCCGCCAACAATCGAGCAGCATTGTGAGAAGAAAACACAAAATCAAGCGTCTTACTCAACTCCTGAGTAGTCCTCGAATGAGAGTATATAACTCCAACAATTTGACCTGCTCAATCACCAATCATTAGCTGTTATGTAATTGAATTCTTTGGAGCAATCAACTTCAATGGAGACATCTAAAGAACCCATCCGAGAATATTCAAACTTATGAGAGTAATATCACTGAGGAAATATCATTCTAAAGCAAATCACCATCAATGTAGTTGTAAAGCTCTTGTTTTAGATGATGCAGTAAGTACTTTGATAAACAATATTTGACCTTTGTAAGCTTCCTGCAGTGAACCAAGTATCTTGGTTAAAGTTACGAGTAGCAGCTCAACCCCATCTTGAACAATACTTTCAGCTCCATCTTGCTCTTGCAAAGCCTGCGCCATATTTGTCAGCCAGATAACTATAATCCGTGTTTATAACAAACATTTATGGTCATGATGAACATAAACATCGAAAAACCAAGAAAAACCTAAGCACTTGGGAAGCTAAATAACAGCTGACAGCTCCATTAACTAGGCCAAGAAATTGACATGGATCCTCTGTGTTGGTAAATTATGTTGAGAAATCAATGTGCCTTTTCTCAGGTCATACAAGCACCATATAGTAAGTTAGCCAGCATTGGCCAAAGGGATTCAACAAAACCTTCGTAAGCAAACAAATTCTCACTAAACTAAAGACATACATTACTTGTTCCCTTCAGTAAAAAATATGACATGGAAGTCAGTTACTGCCGTGTTCAAGGAAGCAATCAGCTTTGTAAAACCCCCAAGTTAAATTATTATAGTATTGCGTCAAATACAACCACGAAATTATAAGAGGCTTAAATTGGTCATTTTCACAAATTGGAATATTCATGTCATCTTTTTGCTTCCTTTATGCCCCATCTGGAGTTAATTTAATTGAATTTTCAGTAATAATTGGGGTAGGTAAATTGACAACATTTTTCACTTCAAAATTTTCATATCAATTATGTAGCTTTTTATCAACCGAACAAAAGGCAATTTTAACTGAAAAAACTCACGCAAACATTTGAAAGGACTTAGGATGCAAGATATCTCAGGAGGCATTAGTTGAGAGAGAACAGAATACCGCTTAAGTATTAATGTTTTTCACTTTCAAAGCTCCCACTATTCATCACTTCATCAGCCCCATTCTTACATCCATAATGCAAGCCTACCCTCCAAAACATGACCTATTGGAATTTGGATATTACAAACTTTTCTACAAGCACAATCCAGAAATTACGTCACTTCTAGCAAGTTATTGAGTAAAACTATACAAAGGTACAGCAACAGTAGTTCCGCTACATTCTTTTGAAAAGTTTAAGAACAACTAAAAGAAAAGAACAGGAATGCATCAAACAAGGAACAGGAATAATAAACACCTTAATGCCACTGAAGCATCCCATCAGCAACTCTGCTGGATTCCTTGTACTTTGCGATAAATCATCATGCATTTGGATTGCCCTTTCAACATTGCGAACCAGAGATAGAAGAGCTACTACATACTCCCTTTCTGATTTCTACAAACCCAATCATGTAAGTCTTCAGTCAGATTCATAGATAAGCTCATGAGTTACCAAATATATTTTTTAGTCCTCATGATACCTTCGACATATGCAGATTCACCATAGCGCCATTTGCCAGCGGGATTGTCAGCACTCCGTTTAATGGCTCTTGGGTATTAGAAGCATAAGATCCACCCATCATAGATGCCTAAGAAAACAAAGATAAAATTCATTTTCACATATAAATTGGTAATCAAACAGCAAAAAAACAACTCAAACATATACAATAAAGACTGACAAAAGCACTAATTTCTTTTTCAGTGCAATCTTTTGACGGTTCATCCAAGAGAAGCACAGAAACATCATCTTCATCTGCACACATTCAACCAAAAATAGTAAGGGAAAAGAAACTCCACAACAATCTATATTCTATTATGCCTAGCAATTATGAACTTTACAAAATCTCACCACGAAATTGAATGTCAACTTTATCTGAACCAAGAATGTGCGTGCTTCTAAATGCATTGCTGAACATTTCATTATATTGGGCAATTTGTCTATCTGCATGCATCAATTCTTTTGTTTTCAATTATTATAAATGAAAAAAATAATAATTAGATAACTTAAAATCCAGCTCAGACACAGGCCAGAGACCATCAATTCCATTCACTTCCAGCAAAAGCACAGCACGGGGCCTCTTGAATGGATTGGGAACAAGGATCTCATCCAGCTGCAGAGAAGCACGATATTGACATTCATTAAAACTAATAAAAGAAACGTAATTAAACATAAATAAAAATATCAGAAGCTAAAAATCACTAATAATTACCTTGGACGAGCCAGCGGCTGAAAGGCTTGAAGAAGGTGAAAAACCAAGTAAAATTGATACAGCGGCACCAACTTCCTGAAGCAACAATGATGGTTTCTGCAGAAAGCGTTAAGTAATGCCACCCGGTGAGATAGTATGGAATATGGATGTTGGCTACGAAAGTTTAGTGCAGTTAAGATTTCTCCATATATCATGAGTTAACATCGAAAATCTTTTCACGTCACATTATATGTATGCAAGCAATTCGGTTCATTTTGTAAGAGAACCACTCTAGAATACAACACATTCAATAAAGCGATTAGGACTAAAAGAAAGACGAGGAACAATAAGGATGATCTTACTAGAAGTTTGGAAATTGAAAAGTTATCGGCATTAAACTAAGTGCCGAAAGGGTATATCATAGAAACATAATTTCCCCAGTGAACACAGCTCCGACTTCCCCGGCCAGAACTTTGCGATTCAATAGACTATCAAGCTTCCATTGATTCGTCACTATCACTTTCCCCATGCTTCACGTACCTATTACTAGATTTGAAGGCTTGTGTTGCAACGAATTATACGTGAATAACAGGATTCAAGTAATTTTATTTTGCAGCGAACATCTTCTCATAAACAAAGGGAATTTGATAAAGATAAACCCAATGAAACGACATAAGCTTGCATGGATCTGTAATTTGAATAGGAAGATATAATGGAATCTAAAACTGGTATGAGAAAAGAAGTACCTCAACTTCATGGTCGGGTGATCTTTCGCGAAGGAATTGATGACCAGTGCCATCAATGAAGAAAACTGAACCAGAATCCTCACTCTGGCCAAATAATCAAATCAGACAAGACAAATTATTAGATCAAAACGACCACGGAGAACCTTAGCCTTCAACGCAGGTTGATTAATTAAGGAAGAGAGAGAAGATGGACAAACCCTAGCTCGAGGAGAGATGAGGAAGAAGATGATAAACAAGCTCAAAACGCTACAAACTCGAAACTCCATCGCTCCGAGGGAAAGAAAGAGATACTACTCGATCTCGCGGTTGAACGAGGAAGAAGGGAGGGCGAGCCGAACTTCCAAGGACGCTTCAAGACATCGAGAGGTGTCGTTTTGAATCAAAGGCAAACGACCTCACCCATCCGAATGGCCACAAAACGACGCTGCAATCATTGATGTTTTTTTTTTTTTTTTTACGCCACACCACCCTCGATCGGATATTCGGATTAGTGGGGTAAAGTGGAGACTAGCGGAGAGCTGCATAAATCAAATTCGGTTGATATATATTTTTATTATTGTTTTACATTGATTTTCATCTAAAAAATCAGAGTATAAAATAAAAATAAGAGCACTTTAAAGAATTCTCAAACACATTTTTTTAATGTTTAAAATAAATCAACCAATTATTATTTTTGGATTGTATGTCATCAAAAGATCTAGTACTACCTCTGGTCCTAATTATAACAATCAGTTAAAAATTAAAAAAATAAGTTAAACTAGTTATTTATAATAAATAGGTATTGCCTTTCTTAAAATATTCTTACTAATCAAATGTATTAGTTAGAACTACTATTATTAGAAGAATTACCTTGAAAAAAATACATAAATATAAACAACAAAATAGATTGGGGTCTTATATTTAAAAACAAAATAAAAATCAAATAAACTAGACCCGGGCAGGGTGCATTTTTAGTGATGTTTGAGGCAGATGGTTGAAATTGCATGCAATTCAGGGGGGACTTGGGGAAGCAGGTCACGTCGAGATACTTTCTTCATCAGTGTCCTTCACATGTGAACTATATGGTTAAATTTAGCTTTTGTTTGGGTATTTGGCTGGGTAATTGACAAATTACATGAGCTGCTGAACAAGAACTTGCCACTTGTGGCACTGTCGACGATGATGAGTCGGTGAAGGACACTGATCCTTTCGTTCTATAGCCACGTCCCACGTGTTCTTCTTGGTTCCTCTGTTCTCTCCTCCACCTCCGCATTTTTATAAAGCTAAACCATGCAATTCCTCTGCTCTCACCTCCATTCCTCCAACAGCTTCTCATCAAAACTCACAAATCCGCTCACCACACATGACCAAGGTATCAGTTTGGTTTGCACAGCCAAATATGTTTACCGTGCTATTTTCTTTTCTTTTGTTTTTTTTTTGGTGGGAAAAAAACGTATAGATGTCTTTTCTTTGCTTCAAGCCTTTGTTCTTATTATGGTGCGTTCGGCAGGGCTCTGCTAATTCACACAAAAGAGAGTCTTCTTTAGAGACTCTTGTGAATCCTCCTGCATCCAAGGTATTAAACATGAAAATGGAGTTCGTTTCTGGAGGAAGCTTCCCAAGTTCGAAAGTTATTCATATTTTGTTCATTTTATCAGCACTTCTTGTTGGCTTCTCTACGTACGCTTCTGCTTTATAATATATTTAGGATCTAAGGAACTTGAATAAGGGTGTCCTCTGCATTCACAAATTGACGGTATATAATGCATTTTCGGCTGTTTTAGAGTCATTTTCACTTTGCCCTTTTGATCAGTCCCACGCCTGAGTTCTCCTTCACGAATAATTTGCGAAGACATTTGATCAAATGATTTTTTTCCTACTTCAATAACATGTTTCTGTGTAGATTACAAGATGCGATCCGGAAGAAACTTTGTTAGATAAGATGAAGGTATGTGCATATGTTTTCCCTCAAGCTTTAATTCTATGGATTTCTGTGTGATTTACAAGGTTGAAAAATGCTTTATTACGTGAGAAATACTGCATCCAGCCTCCAAGGAAAAATATATAAGCAAAGTCTGAAAGGAGAGAATAAAGTGAATAATGCGGTAGCAGTCAGTATGATGCGCTGATATGTCACACTTTGAGAAAGATAGCTGTGTTTGTCTTCTGCTTTTTATTAACTCATGAGCTCGCTTTCTTTTACAAGCTCTCTATTTCACTGAGGTTATCCCTTTGAGATCTTCTATCATCTGCTATATCATAATCTGTTTTAATTAATCGCACTTAACATACACTGTGTTGCTGCAAATATACCTGTTTTCCCTTAATTTTTCTCAGTTCTCGAAGCCTTCAATCTTATCCTTGCACTTGACAGCAGCCAGAAGACTACCTTACTGGAGATGAAAAATATGATGAGGATGGGGATAACAAGGAAAATGAGCATGGTGGCGATGAAGGAGAAGGCGATGAAGATGCTGAGGTTGGCAATGATCTTCAAGATGATGCAGAGTACTTGATAGGAGACGAAGGTCCAACTACGGCCGAGGTATATCACTCTGTTAAATCTAACTAGGGAGCTTATGTACTTTGCATTTTTGTCGTGATATTTACTTTTTCTTGTAAAGGGGGAACTTGAAAAAGGTCTTCCAGCAGAAGATTCGGATACGGGTAATGAGTCTTGTAGACATTACAGCCATGGATCTTATCTGGTCCAAGGAAAGATGGACCATGGAATGGAGGATTATATTTTTGCTGAACATAGGAACATCAATGGCTGCGACTTAGGACTATATGCAATTTTTGATGGCCACGCTGGTCAAGCTGTTGCAAAATACTTGCAAGGCCATCTATTTGAAAGAATATTGAGTGAGGTATGTGACATATCCTTTAGCCATTTTAAAAATAGTTGAAAAATTGTAAAGGTGTTGTATTGTCTTTTTAAGCTCCTCAATGAAAACATTGTATGTCTTAGTTCACACCACTGCTATATGTGTGTTCCTTTTATCATGCATTGGATAGCCTGACTTCTGGAAGAATCCAGTACGTGTCCTTAAGAGATCATGCGAGGCCATGGATGAAGAGATCCTAGCAAAGATAGCAGATTCACGAGGGGGATCAACAGCTGTTGTAGGAATACTTGTTAATGGAGTGAAGTTGCTGGTAGCCAACGTCGGCGATTCTCGAGCAATATTATGCAGAAACGGTGTGGCAAAACAAATTACAGCGGATCATGAGCCAGTGAGGGAGAAAGATCTCGTTGAGAGCAAAGGAGGTTTTGTGTCCAAGGCACCCGGTAATGAATACCATACAACTAGTCAACATTTCTTGCAGATTTTACTGAGATGTTAAGAAGAACAAACAATCAATCACTAGCAGTAAGTTTTACCAATAATACATTCTTTTTCTTATTAATAACTTTGCTTAATGTTCTGATTTTCTTTGGGAGCTTAGGATGTGTTCCAAGAGTGGATGGTGTATTAGCAATGAGCAGGGCATTTGGGGATGGAAGGTTGAAGGAACACATTACTGCAGAACCAGACGTGATGGTTCAAAACATCACTGAGGACACTGAGTTCGTCATTTTGGCTAGTGACGGCCTCTGGAAGGTAATATTTTGTACCAGAATATTTGCATATAAAGAACACCGAACAGTATTTGCAAATATAATGTTTTGATCTTAACAAAGAACTTGATGAATTGCAGGTGATGACGAACGAAGAAGCTTGTGAGTGCGTGAAGGATATGGATGATGCAAAAAAAGCAGCTAAGAAGCTGGTTAAAGAAGCATTAGCTCAAGGAAGCTATGATGATATTTCATGCATTGTTGTAATGTTCCAGGCTAATTGAATGTTCCTAGCTGTACGCAGTTCATTTCTTCTTCTTCTTCTTTTGCTCTTTACTTTTTCTCAGAATGAACTCTCTCAACCATGTAGAAGAAATATGAAAGGTAGATTCATAGATGTTGATCCAAATCTCGCAATAGCTGCTATATATGCCTCCAACCAGATGGGCCTATGTATTTTATGTTGGTGTTCAAAATTTATATTGATATTAATGATTGATATATGGTGTTCAAAATTTGTTAAAATATTATTAGTGGCCACATCAATTATTATTTATTTTAGCAATTAAAAAGAAAAAATACGGTCTCATTTCAATTTTCTAATCACTAGATCAATCTAATAATTTAACTACAAATGGCTCGTTAATAATTATAAATATGATGGACTCTATTACAGATTTATTGTGCAGTAATAGGATAGGAAAGAAATAGTTGTTTTATCCCCTTTTAATTTAGGAGCAAAAGAACACAATAGCAATTTACATCAATCCGTGCTTGAAAAACAGGAGCATAATGGAAATAAGTGAAAGGGATTATTAATGAAGTGTCCAAGTTCATGAGGGATCTTTTATCTATTTCTTCCTTCAACTGAACAATCTATCTTAATAACTCTCTCTATGGATATAATGTATGGAAGCTTTATAGGCTGTCTTGTTTCATTTCTCACACTACCATAGGAATATGACAATGCTTCCCATATGAATTAAATTTTATTAAAAGCCATAGTACTTGTACATTATGAATAATTTTGATTTTTTTTAATCTTATACTTTATGCAAGTACAAACTCATAATTAATCCGTATATAATACAACAATTTTAACAGGTCATATTAATTTTTTTTAGAAAAATAAGTCACACTATTTTAAAGTTATAAACGCGATCACTTTTTTTTTTTTTTTTTAAAACATGGTATAATATGTAGCTGCAAGGAACAAATTCGAAGAAGTAAGTTTCAGGCCCATGAAGCTAAGGGCCTGTTTGGTTTAAAGGAAAGGGGAGGGGGGAGGGGGGAGGGGGGTTCATCCTCACCTTGTTTAGTTTGATTAAAAAGGAGGAGAGGGGAGAGGAAGTAATAATCAATTTACCATTTTATCCTTACATATTAGTTTTATGTTTTTTTTGATACATTATATAAATTAATTTACATCTTAATTTAAATTATATATTTAATAAAAATTCAGTCTATCATGTTAATATGTGTATAAAAAATTGGTATAGTAATTTTTTATTCTAATTAATATAATAAAATATTTAAAATAATCAAATTAACAAATTTTTATGCTCTAAGAAAAATGAAATTTATTTTCTTTGGGCTATCTTTTTTTCCAGCTTTAAAATATATTTAATAAATAATATTTTATAAAAAACAATTAATTTTATAATATTATAATTTTTATTTAAATAATCTTTTATTTTAAATAATTTTTATAATATATTTTTAATTATAATAATGTATATTTTTTTATTTTTTACTTAGGATAATATATTTTTTATTTGAAATAAATATATAATAATATATTTATGAGTAGAAGTTGAATATTAAAAAAACCATAAGAACATAATAGTTCAAAATTTTGGCTCCCTCCAAAAACTCCCAATTTGGAGGGGAGCCAAAATGGGGGGAGGGAGGGGAGGGGAAGGAACATTTTAGCTCCCCTCCCCTCCAAAATTTTCAATCAAATGAGGGGAGGGGCTCATTTCCCCTCCCCTGCAGCCAACATATTGGAGTATTTTCTCAGATGTATTCAGTATCTTAAAATATTTTGTGATGTATTTAACACTTCAAAATATTTTTTAAGATCGTCCAGTATCCTGAAATACTTTTTTTGCCTTGGTACTGGATGCACCGACAAATATTTCCAGCATCTAAAAAAAATACTTTAAGGTGTTAGATGCACAACAAAATATTTTAGGGTCTTGGATGCAATGCATCACAAAATACTTTAAGGTGTCAGATGAGAAAAAATATTTTAGAATGTTGGATGCATTTCAACATTTTATTTATATTCTTTTTTTTTTCGACCAAAAAAATAAAAAAGAACAAAGGCTTTCGACTTTCGGCTTTCGACCAACGAGCAAAACCCTCGTTCAGCCCCGAGGATTTGCGCGCCTGTCACTCCTCTGAACTGAATCTTCTGCTCCCACCGTCTCTCTCCCTTCACGGTGGTTCTTCCTTTCGGCGAAGTGCACCTGTTCACTCCGAGTCGACCCAAAAATGGCTGACGTGGTACAATATAGATTGGAGCGCATGGTCGACGAGCTCGACGACCTCGAGCAACGTGGCATCTTCAGTCGCCGCGAAATAGCCGAGATCGTGAAGCAACGTCGGAAATTCGAGTACAGACTCAAGCGCCCGAGCCCCCTCAAGCAGGACTTTTTAGCCTATATTGATTACGAGACTCAGCTTGACTCCCTCCGGAGGCTCCGCAAGAAACTGGTGGTGTCTCACGAGTCGGAGAATCAGGGAAATGAGAAGAAGAAGAAGAAGAAGAAGTCCAAGTCGGATTTTGCTGGTGTGTTGAGGATTATGGATATTTATGAGTTGGTTTTGAAGCGGTATAAAGGCGATATTGATATTTGGTTTCGGTATCTTGAGTTTTGCAGACTAAAGAAGAATGGGAGGATGAAGAAGGTAACATGCTATTGCATAACTATTTTCTCTAGAACAATGGAAGAAAACAACATAGTAATGTGGAGCTAGAAACTGTATTTCCATTTTCAGACTGAGGTTTCCCTTGTTCATTACTTAACACCAGGGCATCTTTGCGTATTGATAACCTTATAACCCCTCACATATATGTCGTAATATTATATTCAGTTATAATATTTGTGTCTTTATTACAGCATCTGAGCATTTGCAATCTGACATTTTTCAGGCCCTCGCAAAACTTGTTAGGTTTCATCCAAAGGTACCAGGAGTTTGGATATATGCTGCAGCTTGGGAATTTGACCATAACTTAAATGTTGCAGCTGCCCGTGCTCTAATGCAAGAAGGACTTAGGGTTTGCCCAACTTCAGAAGACCTTTGGATAGAGTATCTTCGGATGGAACTTACGTATCTTAACAAGTTAAAGGCTAGAAAGGTTGCTCTCGGTGAGGATGAGGGCACTTTGACCCGCGATCAGAGTGATGCTTATGGGAAACAACAGAGAGAAGAAAATGAAGATTCCTTCTTGTCCTTCAGTGTTAAACCAGAAAATAATGAGAATTCAAACGTGGAAGATGGCGATTCAGAAAAGAAACAAGCATTATTTGCTGAGCGTGGTATGAGCATCTTCCAAACTATCTACAGTGGTGCAGTTGAAGCTGTCCCTTCAAGTCTTAATCTTCGGCAGAGGTTTCTTGAAATTTTGGAGGGCACTAAGTTAGCAAATTCTGAAGAAATGCGTGACGAGATACTGAATGGGATGAAGAGAGATTTTTTGACAGAGCCAGAGTTCTGGGATTGGCTTGCAAGACGTGAATATAACCCTGAAACTGTGCATGAGATGAGTGAAGAAGCCATCATTTCCCATTTGCAAAGGGCAATTGAGGTATGAATTCATCGGAACCACTGAGACCATCGAGAGCATATCATTTTTGTAAATGTTTTTACCTTGAAAGTAGTTAGAAAAGTATGCTTTTAAGATTGTTGATCTTGGGCACCTATCCTGGTCTGATAAATCTTTGATTTTTTATTTTTTATTTTTGTAGGTTTATGAGGAGGCTTTGAGAAGTGTTCCTTCGGGCAATATGTTTAGATTGTATGCAAACTGTCTAATGAGTTTTATGGCTCATAAAGGGGGTGAAACCACTATATCTGAGCTGTCAGATGAAGCTGTAAATTATGTATCACATCTCTTGAGAATATATGAAAGGGCTGAAAGTATGGCATGCCTTACTGAAGATCTTGCATGTGATTATTTGTCATTCTATTTGCAATTGGGACGGTTGGATGAAGCCAGGAAGCTGTCAACAAAGCTTTGCTCTGGGAAACTGGCAGAGTCGGTGCAATTATGGGTATTACGGATAACTATAGAGATTAAATGCATAGCGGGGAGTTCTCCTTCACTTAGTGATGCTGATCTGTTATCCCTGTTTGAGCTCTTTAGATGCAGTTTGAGAAGATTTCCCGTTTCAAAATCTGAGAACTTGTGGTTAATGGTATGTTGTCTGCATTAAATTAATATTTCTGTTTTTTCTTTATGATTTTTCAATACCAATTTGACCCTGATCTGCATTGAGCATTGAAGCTCGTTGGGGATTCTCTTAGACGTTCTTTCAAGGCCCATTGATGAACTTTTTATTGTTTTGTCCCGGCGTTTCGTAAATTTCACGCATTTGTTCCTGTACAATCCAATCATAAACAGATCGCCCCCTTTCTAAACTGTTCTGTCCATTTTCTGTGTCAAATTCATAAAGTTCTTAATAATTCATCTTTGAAATTGGCTCTTCTCGCAGGCCCTTAAATTCTATGCAAATCAAAGACCGTATTTTAATAAGCTGTTAGAGATTTCTGTCACTACTTTGGCCAGGGATGGTGGCAGTGAAAATGGATTTTCCCTCTCCTCTGCCATTGTAAAGTTTATCCTTCAGAAGGATGGAATTCAGCAGACCAGAGAGACATATAAGCGGTATGTTCTGAATATTTTTTTCTCATACTTATTTTTGAGCTGGAAGTTTCATACGCTTTCTTCTCATTGCAGATTTCTAGCTTTACCACATCCTGGCCTTGTTTTATATAAAAACTGCATTGACCTTGAAACAAACCTTGCTTCAATTGGAGATAAAGATGGTCTCATGAACGCTAGAAAATTATACGAATCTGCGCTTGCAACTTATGACCAAGATGTCAAATTGTGGCAAGATTATTATCAAATGGAAAGCAAGGTATGACTCAGGCTTACTGCCATTGTGGCTGCTGCATAAACTGACCAAATAGCTGTTTGCATTTTCCAAGTTCCTTGGTGGATTCCTGTCTCTTTGATAATTTCGATGACAGTTTATCTGTTTATCATATGTTCATATCAACTACAGACATTTTAAATGCCATCTAACTACCTCTTCGTTATTTGAGGAGTAGCAAATCGTTTATATCGAATAGCTTTCTCACTACGGGTTTTTTCACCTGTGTTGCAGATGGGAACGTCGGAAAAGGCTACTGCTGTTGTGTGGCGGGCAAGGAGGATACTCAAAGACGCGGGCGTATTCATTGCGTCCCCTAATTTGGGATGATCCTCGAAGATACTTATGAATCATCATGGCTTCAGTTTTGACCCCCTTTTTTTGTATTTTAAATATTCGTTCTTTCAGATAGGGCCAGACATGAAAGTTTTTCCTACACATTTCCTTTCGAGACAGATAATGCAGTTCCTTTGATCTTGTCATACTACCTTGAACCTCTGAATTCGAGGATTGAAATGTACATTATTGTGTAATTTAAAGCTCGAACAAATACAAATTTTTATTCTTACACTTTTTCAAATAAAGCATTACAATGTTTTATGCTAATTTTAATTAGATTTAAAACAAAAATATCTTTAATTAATCTGAATATATTTTTCCGGTTTTTAATACAAGACCTATTTAATTAAGGGAAAATTTCACTGTAGGACCACACAAGACAATTAATCTCAAAGAGCCCCCAAAACTTTCTGAAATCTCACTGCAGGACCAATGAACCAATCTGATATTAATTCCACAAGCGAAATGACGCCACTACCCTTAGCATCAGGTGAACCAGTTCACATGTGAACGGACTGATTCCACGTGTGAATATATGTATTTCTTCTGCAAATTGGCTAGTTCTCCTTGCAAATGCGATCTCCCGCACTTGTTCTCTCACGGACACATGATTCAGGTGAACCAATCTACATGTGAACGGACTGATTCCACGTGTGAATATATGTATTTATTCTGTAAATTGGCTAGTTCCCCTTGCAAATGCGCTCTCCCGCACTTGTTCCCTCACGGACCCATGCTTCAGCTGAACCAGTCCACATGTGAACGGACTAATTCTACATGTGAATATATGTATTTCTTTTGCAAATTGGCTAGTTCCCCTTGCAAATGCGCTCTCCCACACTTGTTCCCTCAAGGAAATAAGTTTCTACTAGGGGCAGTGGCGTCATTTCATTTGTGGAATTAATATCAGATTGGCCCCTCAGTCCTGCAGTGAGATTTCAGAAAGTTTTGGGGGCTTTTTGAGATTAATTCTCTTCTGCGGTCCTACAGTGAAATTCTCCCTTTAATTAATTTGATTAAATTAAAAAAATTAGATAAATTAATTAATTATAAAAAAAATAAAACATTTTTCTTAAAACAATATAATCATCTTTGTCAATACTCCCATTTTCTCTTCTATTTAATTATAGTTGAAAGAATACCATAGAGATAATTTAAAAAAAATTAATAAATATATGAAATAAATATTATATTTATAACCAAAACTCAGTAAAAAATTAGATTTTATATTAAGGTGCCAAGGAGTATATTTTATTTTAGATAAATTAGATTAATGTAGTTTTATCCTTTTTATTTTTTTGTGTAAATTGTCTTTTTCAAGTACATTTAACTGAGCAGACTAGGTCACGCTGGTCATTCGAGTCATCAGGCGGTCTAATCTGGCCCGGTATGTTTATTTGCGTACAACATTAACCCTATCCAACAAAACCCATCTTGGTCAATCCCCTTTGGAAACAAGAGTACGGAAAGAATATTTTGGTCTCTCCAGAGCTCAACAGGCAAAATCAATCCCACGCGTCTACATCCAGTAGAATACATAAAGGTATGGTATTTGGTCTGAAGCTCATGGAAGACGGAATGAGAAATCACCTTAGCTCCATGAACCACTTTCAGATGTCAAGTAGTTCGCATAAACCCGGATATTGTTGCGTTGGGAAAAGAAAAACAATCAAAATGGATACGGGAACGCAGGCGAGTTGATCATTGTAAAGGCTGCGAATTGGGCGTTCATAAGAAGCGGGCATTTGCAGCGTAGCAGATTAACGTATCAATCTTATCTTCCGACCCGCTTGGCTTCTATATCCTGAAGCCTGAGGGTAACTGCCCTCTTGTGGGCATCGAGACCTTCAACTTCAGCCATCGTTGCTACATATGGCCCAAGTTTTCTCAGACCATCCTCAGTAAGAGACTGTATGGTTATGTACTTCAGGAAAGAGTCCAATGAAACCCCACTATACATCCTTGCATAACCATAGGTAGGAAGAACATGGTTTGTCCCACTCGCATAATCACCCACACTCTCTGGCGTCCACGGCCCCAAAAACACAGAACCTGCAGAAGCAATTCACAAGCATTGAAATTTAGGATTCTTTAATTATGACAGTTGGTGAGAATAAAGATGCCAAGGAATCTAAAGCTCAAGAAATTGGCATCAAATTCATATTCATTAATGACTTACCAGCATTCTCAATTAAACTCTCCCACTTCTCCGCATCCCTCACATTGACAATTAGATGCTCAGGAGCGTATAAGTTTGAGAAATTGATTGCCTGCAAGTTCCAGAAAACAACTCACACTTTTGATACTTCAATATGGATATTGAAGAACTGATACTCGAGAAAACAGAGAAAATTAGGAATGAAGTGAAAATTGTTGAACTCATATAGTATGCTTAAATTTACAATAATCTTTACTATTATGCACAACCTTACTATTATACACAATCTTATTAGCTCTGCATAAGGACAGAGGAACCTAGCAGAGTGTGTTATTCCTTACGTAGAAACAATTCTCTCTATATATGCCTTTTGTCTTTGATCATAAAACAACCAAATATACTAATATACACAGAAAATGCACATAAAAGGCATCACTAGAGCTTGAGCATAAAGAGAACAACTTTAACTACAGGACTAACCTCGAGCATATCATGTGCATGCACGATAAAACTGTGGCTCAGGGCTTTAGAGGCAAACTCTCCTCTTGGAAGACTACTGCACTGCTTGCTGAGTTCTTCCTCTATAGCTTGTACGTCCACACCATCTCCAGCAATCACAAGAACCACCTGACTATCAGGACCATGCTCAGCCTGAAATTGTAAGCTAGTCATAATGATGTCAGAAATCTACGTTAGAGAAAATGTGCCTGCTGCTAGTCACTTGAATAGGTTTGGAAAGAATGAATGATTTCATAATTTTGAGACTCATACATGTTCACATGTATTGAGAGGAAAACATAGTGAAACAAATTCTAGATTGAACACGTTAGAGCCTAAATAGATGTCTACATTAAACATGTCATATATTCTATATCATGTATTTATAGATTTTATAAACCGTTCTTACAGGGAAAAATATAACAAGAGATAAATACAAGGATAAATAGATGTCTACATTAAACATGTCATATATTCTATATCATGTATTTATAGATTTTATAAACCGTTCTTATAGGGAAAAATATAACAAGAGATAAATACAAGGAAAAAGGCAGAAGAAAACAGAGATACAAAAATAAAGAATACACAAAACTTCTGAATTTCTCTGCAAACCTGGGAAAGCAAATCAGCTGCTACATGAGGGGGCAGTGCATGCTTGTCTGCAATGACCAAAACTTCAGATGGACCGGCTGGCATGTCAATTGAAACCATGGCTTCACTGTTCTGCAGGTTTTAAAGATTAAGGGGAAAACGCTCTAAGATTTGAAGTATATGAAACAATGATGGAAAAAAAAAACCACAGTTAATTGTAAATGGGTATACTTGAAGTATCATTTTTGCAGCTGTGACATACTGATTTCCAGGGCCAAAAATCTTCTCAACCTGCAAAAGTGACACCACAAATTCACAATTGACAAAATGACAAATTATGAAATACTGAAAAAAGAGCAAATTCTTCTGTAATATCTTACTAGGTAATTGTATAAGAAGGAAAAGGCAGTTGAGAAATATGTTGCAATTAACCATGAATTATAAACCCAATAAACTCTTCAAATTAATAATGACAGTGGCGAGGGAGATTTTGAGAGCTATAAAAATCTTATGAGATGACTTTGCAATCATGAAGATGAATTGATTATAGTATGAGATACGGAAAAAAGAAATGGTAAACTAATTAAATACATATCAGACAACACACTGAATATGAAGAGAGGGAAAGCTCAAACTAATCAATACTAATAACACAATAATAATTTGAATGTAGACCATGACAGAAGAGATGAGTTATTATTGAGAACCTTTGGACAAGATGCCGTACCCCAAGCCATTGCCGATATGGCCTGCAACGGAGAAGAATGTCATGTAAATTATAATTCATGCTTAAGATGATACCTATACATAAAATATGAATGTAAGGGCAGAATCTCAAATTACAAAGCTAGAAAATGGGTTATGTCATCATGCTTTAAAACCTGAGCTCCTCCTGCTTTAAGAATGTGAGTCACCCCAGCCTTCTTTGCACAATACAGAACCTCCTGCAGGAAATCATCGGTCAGTACAGAGAAGTGAGAGCAAGACTAGAGAAACCTCATAGTTATCTTACAATCCAATATGAAAAAATACCTTGCATATAGTGCCATCCTGAGCTGGAGGAGTTGCAAGAACAATAGTTTTACATCCAGCAATCTGTGCAGGCTGGATACAGTGTTTAGGTGTCAACTTAATATGGTGATAAATGTTGATAATCATTAGATGAAAAACAATAACAAAAGCTCATGAAATATGTATTCAACTTACTATTGAAAGCATCAGAGCTGTTGAAGGTAACACTGCAGTTCCCCCTGGAATGTAAAGACCCACAGAATTAATGCATCTAGCAACTCGCTTGCATTTGACTCCCTGACAATTATTAAAAACAAATGAATCACAGATGAGGCATTGGATAGCACTGAAATTTGAGGAACCAAGAGTGTCACAGACATGAAGGCTTGAAATGAAATGGCAAGACAGACACATTAGAAACCCACGAGTTTAGAACAAACTTGGTGAGGACACAGAAGCAAATGACCGCATCTGGAAAACAATCTTCTAAGCATGGTATCCTTCCAGCATCTAACATTTCTAAGATAATACTGCAATCATTTACTTCTTACTATTGCAGTTTGCTATACCAATACTATAAAACTCTTAACTTTTTCACTCTAGGGTGAACATGAATATGTATTACAGCTCACACTTGTGACTTTTGTCCACTCAACTTAGCCAAGAACAAGAATGAATTTTGAGTCTTTAACATACTTTCATGTTCTCTACACTTTTATCAGCTGACTTTTGAGCATCATGAAACGCATATATATTGCTGTAAGCAATGTCAAAAGCATCCCTGACGGGTTCATCAAGCTGCAGAAAAACAACAAATCAACAAGCGTTCAAAATATAGTTTCAACCAAATGGAAACGAATTTTTATGAATAAGGTCTGCAAGTTCAATATACCACTGGATCAGGAAGCTCAGAGACAGTTTCAACTATCTTATCTAGTTCTGCTTTGTCAAATTTTGATGTATACCTATGAAACAAGAGCAGATAAAATGTTTAAAGTATAGCTAAAGAGATATGAAAAGATACAGGAGGTAACTAAATAGGATTAGTCACTAATTTGAAAGTAATTAACAAATTTAAACAAACTTCACTGAGAGTAAGTTATTAAGAAGCACTAACTCTTTAACTGCTGCATCACCTCGTTTATGAACATCATCAACAATAGGCTTTACCTATAATACACGGCTTCTATGTTAATTAAGCACAGTTCAATGAAAGTGATATATAACAAAATATTATTAACATACAGTAGATAAGTTTATCAGGTAAATTAAAAACAATAACTAATACTTACCACACTGAAAATGGAAGAAAAGTCTATGCGAGGGCGACCCTTAAGGCTCTCAATCTCAGCCTGAGTAAGTTCTGACAATTTATATGACTTCATTGAGCACTTTATCTGATTAAAGGAAGACACTGTAGCAAGAAATGCAATGTTATGGCATGAAGCACAAAGCCTCAGGATGTGACATTTCATCTGGCAAGGTAGTTTAACACCTTATTTTCCAAAAACAAAACGACAAGCAAGCAAAGACTATAAGTTAGATATGGTGCATATCTTTCTATCTGTGTCAGTGGTATAGTCCATATGCCATAATTTGTGCTACTTAAGATACTGAACACAAATGCTAAAATAAAATTTTAATTTGATTATTAGTATTGAAAGCCTCAACATCCAGAGACGGCACATGCATAGATCCATATCCTTACAGTTCCAAAAGTTCCGCAGGGATGGGGTGATGTTAAATCAATGTCGTTCTGGACCTTCTGGAAATGCCAGTAACTTGATAAGCTCAATTTGGGGAGGCTTGATCAAATGATCTGGTTAAAATATAAAAGCTGACTCTCCATCATCATTTTCAATCAGACTGATAAGAAGTACTCAATATGGATTTTTTTTTTTTTTTAAATTATCAAAGAAAGAAGAAGATTGGAACTTAAGGAAGAAAACATTTCAACTGGACCAAATGTCACAAAGACGACATATAAAATCAGGTAAATAATTTTAGGTAGCCAAGAAGGAGACAACTAAAGGAATTTTACTTGAATATGGACACAGGATGGAGACTATAATCTAGTAAAAGTCAATAGCATCAAAGCCCAATAGTCGAAAGGCTAATGGGGTCTCCAATTTCCATTTTTCAATAAAGATCAGAGTCCAATAGAAATCTAGGACAAAGTGGAACAGTTTATGATTTTGTAGCATTAACTAACTTGTTTGGCCGGCTGATGGTTTGTTTCATATCCTTAAACGCAAGTAATCCTGCTCCCACAGCTTTCCGCCCACATGAGAAACGACTCCGCTTCTCAACCATTATTATGTAAAACAATCCGCCGAATTAATGGCGCAAATCAACAATTGTATTTTTGTGTAAACAAGAGAGTTGCGAAACCATCTCTTCTCGGTGTTATTATAGATATCAACTGAATTAATGGAGCTGATGATTTGTTTCATATCTTAAAACGCAAGTAATCCTGCTCCACAGCTTTCCGGCCACATGAGAAACAACTCCGCTTCTCTGCCATTAATATGTAAAACAATCCGCTGAATTAATGACGCAAATCAACAATTGTATTTTTGTGTAAACAACGGAGTTGCGAAACCATCTCTTCTCGGTGTTATTAAGATATCAACTGAAATGGTTTTGGGCGTCGACATGTAACTGAGCAGCACCAACTCCTCACACAAGAAACATAAACTCATAAATCCTGCAGGCTGATAATCCAGCTAGCATCCATGAAGCACATTATAAAACTACAAGAACTGTCTAGAAATGGTACAAACAGTTAATGCAACGCAAATTTATCACACATAAACGCAGTGCGTCGAAAGGGATATATTAAAACGGTATGTTTTTATCCATAAAGAAAAGAACAAACTCATCTCAGAATCAATTAATCCAAGACAAAAACTTTGTCTGACTAATTCGGTTAATGTTGACGAAAGCAAAAGGCGCAAGTTTAGTCTGTTGGCGCAGTGTGCAGCCACGAGAGCAGGTCGAAGGTAAATAGTGGGGTGCTCACGGGACGAGACGGGACACCGTGTCCCGTTCCGGAAAGACACACGGGACGAATATTGTCGTCCCGCGTCCCGTCCCGTCCCGAAGATGCCCCAGTGCCGAATGGGACGGGGATGGGACCGGGACAAATCGGGACGTCCCGACAAAAAAACAGAGCCCAGATGAACAGCATTTTGGGAAGTAGAAGACCAAAAGAAGAAGAAAAACAACATTGAGGAAAGTAGAAGAGTGATAGAAGAAGCAAAAATAAATCTTAGACCTTAGTTTCCAACACAAAAGAGTTTGATTCTATTATATTTCAATCATTTACACTAAATATTAAAAAAAAATTCGCAAAATATGGAGCACATAAAATCAAGATTGGCTCACGATTGTCACCCTTCAAATCCTACATCCTTAATACTCATCCACCCCTTTCTCCTTCAATATTTCAATCCCACCATTCTTTATCTACCCACTTCGCCCTCTGAAAATTCCTTCATAAGAAATCGCGAGTGGGTTCCTCTGAGCAATGATTCGATGGCTTCTCTTTCAATTTTAAGAGCTCATATGTGCAGACCAGATGGGTTTTTGAATAGAGAACAGAGGGAGAGCAAAACACACCTGGTCGACAATGGCGGCGATGGAAGAGAGAATGTGAGAGCCTGAGAGGGGATGAGCGAGCGTCGCGAGCGTGAGGAAGATGAGTGACGGCGCTGGCAAAGGTAAGAAGTGAAGGCATCGGAGATACTAGACGTTCAATTGAGAGCGGGATTACAAGGCTTCCCTCCGCTGACACTATCATCCGCTGATTTGAAACGACTGTGTTGTAATTTGGATGAGTGAGGAAAGGAATGAGGCGCACACCCAAGGAAAGAGTGAAAAGCAAGGGAGCAAATTAGTTTAGAAAAGGTGATAATTATTTATTATATATACTGATTTAATAAATTTTTTAACCTATTTAAATTAGTTAATTAATTTTTATATTAATAACTAAAAATAACAGTATGTATAATAAGGATGGGATGGAACGCAATGAGCACTCCCAACGCAAATACTTTGCTGGAGGCCCAAGCCCACATTTTTGTGCTTCACCTGGGTATTTATTTATGAGTAATTTTTCTTTTTTCTTTTTAATAAAAATCAATATCAAGTAGGAGCCTTTTACCCATTTGTTTGAATAGCCATTGTAAAAATACTTTTCTTAATTCCAGAAAATATTATAATATTATTTCTAAATATACCTGGTTAATAATTTTTTTTCTTAACCCTTATTAAATGATCATTTGTACATTTATTTTGGGATACAATAAAAAGATAAGCAATTTTTCGGCCTTTGTGAACTCGGCAACTGAGTATTGCGTTAATGGACTGAATAAGAAAAGATGATAATTTGACCATGTCAAATAAGTTTTTTCAATAAATAACTAGATTTTTATCCAAAATGAATCAGTGGACCTTACCTTGAAACTCTAGAGACCAAGATTTAGCATCAAAATAATCAACAAAACTATACTACCTTCGCTATTTAATATAAGACTTTATTTGACTTTTATTTTGATCCTAAATATAAGACTCCAATCCACTTTGTCTTTCATATTTATATATTTTTTTTCAATGTAGTCTTTTTAACATAGTAGTTCTAGTAGCTAATACACTTGATTAGTAAGGATATTTTAGGAAAGATAACACCTATTTATTACAAATAACTAACTTAATTTCTTTTCTTAATCTCTTCAAATTAGTCAACTAACTCTTATAATTAGAACCCGGTATTAAAGAAGTAAACTAATGAAATTGATTGGATGCGCAGGGCGACCGAAGCACTGCTGATTTATGAAGTGTATGAAAATTTGCATCGAGCTATTGTATGCAAACAAGTTACCAGTATCCATATTATTTTCATATGCAGGTTCGTTTCTCCATTCTCCTCAGCAGGGAGAGCTCATTAAAAAGAGGAAATCCATTCATCTGAAGCTTACACAACCCCTTCCCATGAAAACCCAAAACCCCATTTTCAGCCACCCAACTCTACAAATCCTAGAAAGATGCCATACTCTTGCCACTTTAAAGCAAGTTCATGCCCATATGCTCACAATTGGTCTCGCCCTCCACACATACGCTCTCAGTCGTCTTCTCATTCAATCCTCCAAGCTTTCCTTAACCTATGCTCTTCACATCTTCAGAAACATCCCAAATCCAACAATCTTCCTCTTTAACACTCTCATTTCTTCCCTCACCAATTATCATAGTGAACATGCCCACATAGCCTTCTCACTTTATAATCAAATACTCCTCCGTAATAAAACCCCTAAGACCCAATAGTTTCACTTTTCCATCCCTCTTCAAGGCCTGTGCCTCTGACGGATGGCTCCATTATGGCCATCCCCTCCATACCCATGTCTTCAAGTTCCTTGAGCCCCCATCTGATCACTTTGTCCAAGCCTCTCTGGTCAATTTCTATGCTAAATGTGGCAAATTAAGCCAGTGTAGGTATCTGTTCAATCAAATCAGTGAACCTGACCTGGCCATGTGGAATACTTTATTAGCTGCTTACACACGTAGTGCTAGTTTTGAAGATGCTGATATGTATTTAGAGGTGCTGCATGGGTTCAGTGAGATGCAGGAGTCTCAAATACGGCCTAATGAAGTTACACTTGTGGCTTTAATTGGAGCTTGTTCTAATTTAGGTGCTCTTAGTCAAGGTGTGTGGGCACATGCTTATGTCTTAAGGAACAATATTGTGGTCAACCGATTTGTGGGTACTGCATTAGTTGACTTGTATTCCAAATGTGGATTCGTGAACCTTGCCTATCAGGTGTTTGATAAATTGCCTGAAAGGGACACATTTTGTTATAATGCTATGATTGGTGGGTTTGCGGCTCATGGTCAAGGGCATCAGGCACTTGAACTTTATGAAAAGATGAAGCCCGAGGGTTTAGCTCCTGACAGTGCAACCATTGTAGTTACTTTGTTTGCTTGTTCTCATGTTGGATTGGTGGAGGAAGGCTGTAAAATATTTGAGTCCATGAAGAAGGCTCACGGTATCGAGCCAAAGCTTGAGCATTACGGCTGCCTAGTTGATCTTCTTGGTCGAGCAGGACGTCTAAAAGAGGCAGAGAATATGGTGCGGAAAATGCCCGTAAAGCCAAATGCAATAATGTGGAGGGCTTTACTTGGGGCAGCAAGACTTCATGGAAATATAGAGATAGGTGAAGTTGCACTCAAACACTTGATGCAATTAGAACCAGAAACTAGTGGAAACTATGTGCTTCTGTCCAATATGTATGCTAATTTCAATAGGTGGGATGACGTGAAGAGAGTGAGAACTCTAATGAAACATCAAGGGGTTAACAAAATTCCTGGATTTAGCTTAGTTGAGATTGGCGGGGCCATGCACAAGTTTCTCACATGTGATAAAACTCATCCATTTTCTAAGGAGATATATTTGAAGATTGAGGAGATAAACAGAAGGCTACAAGAATATGGTCACAAACCAAGAACATCTCAAGTTTTGTTCGACATGGAAGAAGAAGACAAGGAAGATGCTCTTTCTTACCATAGTGAAAGGCTAGCGATAGCATTTGCTCTTTTAGCAACATCAGATTCAAGTTCTCCTATAAGAATATTGAAAACCTTCGGGTTTGTGAGGACTGTCATGCTAGCACTAAGCTGATATCGACTATTTATCAGACGACTATTATAGTTAGAGATCGAACTCGCTTTCATCATTTTCAGGATGGAACTTGTTCTTGCAAGGATTACTGGTGATATCTAACAGTTATACCTGTGCAGTGCAGTTTTGTTTGAACAAATTAATATGACATGGCTCGGCCTACCATTGTTATTTAGGGACTATATTCATAGATCAATTGTTAGATAACACATCAAAGTCACACATTTGATGCCTAAATAAGAAAATATATAAGCGTAAAGTGATTGCTACCAATTTTTGTAAAACCAGAAAGTGATTTCTACCAATTGGCTTAAACTATTTTGGTGTAATAAATAAATCACACTTAAATACAAACGTTCAATTAAATACGATTTTGGGACTTTATGTATGTTGCAATTTTAGATTGAACTTAATCATATGATCAATTAATGTTTTCCTTTTAAACAAATATTTTTGGAATTATGTTTACGATTTTCTCTTGCCAAGACTTCTAAGTTTCTGTAGGCTAGGTATAACTAGGTCACCTTTCATAACCAGAAAATTTAAGTTTCTGTAGATTTTACGAGTTATATATAACTAGGTTATCTTTTATAATTAGAAAATTTAAGGCGAATCTAATTTTCAGGAAGGTTTTTAGGTGCAAAGAATTCACCGACAAAAAATGATTGAGGAAAAAACTTTTGGTTTTACCAAAAATACATATTAAATATAAAGATAAACTAAATAAACATTTAATATGCTGCAAATCAACACAATTATTAATATAGGATGAGGAAAAAATATTCTTTACAAATATCACATAAATATTTATTATTTGTAAACTACAAATATTACTTAGAATATGCCTCGCAATGCTAAAGTATGCGGCCTAAATTTTCTGGATTCAGATTTGATTCTAAATTGGGAAAATGCCTAGGAACTTGGATAGATCCAGGCAAAAGAAAGACTCAAATCTCCTCTCGAGTGTTAAACGCAGTGAGATATAAAATTGCCCATTGGCAGACAAAACTTCTATCCCAGACCTCTAGACTTGCGCTCATCAAGTTGGCGCTGGCAGCTATAAATATACATGTTTTTTCTGGCATCAAGCTACCAAAACACATCTGTGAACAAATTGACCCTTGTTGCATCAATTTCTTTTGGAGATCAATAAATATCAAGAATAAGGCGCATCTTCTTAGAAAAGGGGAAATTCTTAAACCAGTGGAGCAAGGAGGCCTAGGATTGAGACCCGCGGCAGTCATGAATAGGGCCCTTCTTGCTAGGAAAGTTTGGAGAGTTTTAACATCTGAAGAGCCTTCACTATTAGAATCTTCCTTGAAAATCAAATATATTGATGTCACTAATTTGATTAAGACAGCTTACAATGCATCATGGATATGGAAGAGTATTTCTGAGAATGCAGGACTTATAATATCCAAACTGAAGTGGAGAGTTGGAAATGGCCTTTCCATTCCTATGAACCATCAGTTGTGGTGGCCAATGCAACAAGATCTAGCTGTCACATCAAATATTCGATATGTAGCTGATCTTTTAGTGCATGGCAATTCTTTTTAGGTTACGTTTGGTAGGAAGTATTGAAAATAAGAGATTATGATTAGGATTGTGATTGAGAAAATCTATTAAAAGAGTATTTAATATAAGAAATTGTTTGTTATATGGGATTAGCCAAACCCATGTATGTGGGATTGGAGAATATCATGAGGGGAAGTGGTATTCTCCAATCCTACCTCTATGAGTTTGCCTAATTCTATATAATAAGCAATTACTCATATTCAATATTATTTTAATGATTTTTTTCAATTACAATTTCAATCTCAATCTTAGTTTAATGTTTCGTACCAAATTGGACTTTAGAGTAATGTTGAGTGGAACTCATCCTAGTTTATCAACTTTCTCCCAGTTCCTCAACTTCAGCCATTCTGTCAACTCCTCTCTCATTCATAGATATTTCGAATAAACTGGCATGGCAAAAAAATTCTATGGGGATCTGTAAGGTAAAAGATGAAGCATCTTTTTTAATTAATACTGATAATACGGTTCTAGATGATTTCTAGAAATTCATTTGGAAAGAAGATAATTCTATGGCAAGGGAAGAAGATATCTTTGATAGCTACTATCAAAGAGATACAAGGC